CCGTAAGACAGCGCGCGGGTCGAAATGTGCGATCAGTGGTCTAGGCTTGGTCTTGGCTCGGTTTGAGGCTCTCTACAAATGCGTACATGTGTGAACTCTATGGACTCCACCGATGTCAGCTTTCCATCATACCCCCGCGCGGCTTACGGATCAAATTTTAACCCTATTGTGTCTCCAACCCAAGTCTGGAATTTGATGGAGCGCGCACGTGTCTAAGCGGCCTGGCCAAGGGCTCCGGTTAACGACAGTAAAGGGCAGTGCAAACCATCGCTGGCCTCCAGAAACCACTCAAAGCCCCCCTCAGGGGAAGGTAGCATGGCTGGTTGAAAATTGATGAGGATTGGTTTCCGTGTGCATGAGCCATTCTTTATGACGTTTTCGACCACATTCGTATAAGTCCCTCCAGGGTCCCGTGCGTAATCGCCAAGTGTACGCATGAGCTCAAGGCTCCCCAAGCATACTAACTCGAGACTCTTATGTCATTACCTAGTTTGAGTCGACACTTAAAATTACATAATACATGGCTACCACTTATTGAACAATGGAGTTGTAATATCCAATCAGTCAGTCGGATTGGCCTAGAGTACTCAAGTTATCGAGACCCACCAATTTCAACAACCAATAATAACCCGCCTTGCTAGCTCAATCGGTAGAGCGTGAGACTCTTAATCTCAAGGTTGCGGGTTCGACCCCCGCGTGAGGCTCAAATCCTCACCGCGATTGGCACAGCCACTCTTCGGGTTATATCTTTTGTGGTTTTACACGTCTCGGTCATCATATCATGTCTAATGCCGCGCAAACACCTGTTGTTGTTTTTGTAAACAGCACTGAGATACAGTCTCCACATGGACATGGTTGTTGTATCATTTGCTCTTTGCGGTAATGATTCCCACTGAGATTTTATAGCGCTCCGTTCGTAGAACAAACGTGTCTACCCGTAAAGCAAAGTTGCGTTCTCAATACGTATAGTATTTATTATCTTATAGTACAAACCAAAATCGCAAATGGAAATTTTGCGCCATTGCATAAGTGGGCACCAGCTTATACGTAGAGATAGAGTACTGCTACTACTGCCTGCCTAATGGAGATGCTGCGGGTTCGGACCCCGCAACTGGATTTACCAGATGACTAAGCTCACTTACACGGATCACTGCAAACTCGTAAGAGTAGAAGGGCAATCAGTTTGTCGAGGCCTACTCGTTTTCACCAAGCGCTCAAATCTACGAGGCATCTGCGGATGTGACGGCCATTATCCCGCGGCGATATTCGACTCATACGAGGTCATCGAACGAACCCACATGGAGGATATAACAGGGGGGGGGGGGGGGGGGGCAGACCCAGACCCCCAAACACGATTGTGATACCAGACACAAGAGGCTACACCATCAACGATGGAAACTCGCTGCCTTCTTGGTCTGAGTTCAAACCTGTACACCGGCTTCTAGGTGCGGACTGGAAAGCGAAACCGCCGCGCGTGTGGGACCTGTGCAGAAGACGGGGGTGCCAAGTTGACTCGAGCTGCAATGTTGATTCTCTCTACCCGTCCCGGCTACCCTGCGAATCAACGGGTTAAACATGGGGCCCCCAAGTTTCTCTGTCTGGGTATGTGCCTGCACAGGTATGCGAGTGTGTGTGGGCGTGTTTGTGTGAGTGTGGCGAGCCGGCAGGGAAAGGGGTACCGTGATGTTCGTTTCTCCCTAGTCGGCCAAGCTCCGCCGACTCGGGCGGAGGGCGCCAACCGAGTCGGAACGAAGATGGAAAATGAGAGAGGGGTATACGGTACGTGCCTTGACCTGGAAGAATGCTCCAAAACACGCGAGGAGGGAGAAGGACTAGACGACCAGGCAACTTCAACCGATCCTGAGGGGCTATATTGGTAACACGGCAAGGACCAGGCGTTGTTGCTGACAGTTTGTGTCAACGTCGTGAGCCAAGAACCCACCAGTACATCGTACGCTTTGTTAACGGTCCACACCACCACCATCTACCATTGGCCCATCATCGCTGCCGCCTCCATCATCACATCGACAGCCCGCGCCCCCCCCCCTCCCCACCTCCACAAAGAGACAACAGACACTGGTGAGAAATCGGTGCTTCGAAAAATGGTTTTTGCCCATCCCTGTATCAGGTATGACACGCATTTGACTACCGTTCCGTGCGGAGCGTGAGACCTCGGCCGCTAGTCAGGCTGGAAGAGGGCGCCACTGATGGCAACTTCGCCGGCTTCACTGTTTTGCGGGATGTACTAGCAGCCCTCAAGTTGGTGGGGGTTATTCCAGCCTCCATTCTTGAGGACACAGGAAGATGGGCAGAATGAGTGAGAGAGACAACACATACACACACACCACCCCCCTCTCACCCGCCCTTTCCGTCCGTCGCCCTCGGGTATGCTGCCCTGCCGCCGGCGACTGTTTCCATTCTGGGGGGGGCAAGTCAAACCTGCCGGAAGCCTGTCAACTCTCTTGTCAAACCCAAACTCCACGCCTCGTCACAGACCTTGGGCCCCGCAACCTATCAGGCTCGCACGCTGATGACAAGAAACGTTCGGTGAGGTTAACCCGAGGTCTATCCCGAGGAAACTAGCGCGGACACAGCACCGAGCCAATACCGTCCAGATCTCTCTCTTTTTCTTTTCTTTTCTTTTTCTTTTGAGGCCCGCATGAGGCGGACGAAATGTTGCCGAGAACGCAGTAACGCCATCTTGAGGGTGGAGAAAAACACAGCCGTTGACGGGAGTCAACTAGGTTTCGAGAAATGACATCCGATTCTCTTGTCAGTCAGCATGGCGTTTTGAGCCGGGCTTGGTCCTGGCAGGAACGACTGCCGTGACGCCCGTGGGGTTCGCGGATAAGGGAAAAGGGGGGGGGGGGGGGGGCACCACTCGGTACTGGGAAGCCGTCGGGTAGATGCCATGGGGCGGGGATCAGCGAGGCCAGACGAGCATGGGCAGACCCCGTCAAGTTGTGTGTGATGAGGGTGATTTGAGTTGTTGCCACTGTAGGGATGATCTTAGCAGCAGAAGGGATGCCGAGTCCGCCAAGAGAGGTGCCACTTGTGATCTCTGCTCGCCGCAGCTTACTCGCATCAGTTGGTGTTCGAAGCGAGACTTGAGACCCCGGTTTTATGATGGCGTCGATCGGTTATTGAGGGGGGGGGCTGCTGCTAATTGTTCAGACCATGTTTCCGGCGGATCTCGACGCGAAAGACTATACTATACGGGCTATTGATTTTCGTCATTATCAATGCCCGGGGCTTGGAGCTTTGAGCATGACCGTAGGTGATGATTCAATGCGTCGCCAAAAATGTCATAACAACCTGAATTTGTCACTTGCTAAGACCTGTGGTCAAGTATTTCCCTGTCGAGTTATCGACTACGGCAGGCGTTTGAGATTTGCATGTTTCACAGGTCTAGTCTGTACAGGAGGTAAAAAAGCAAAAGAAGGAAGGGGGGGGTTACAAGTCACTTCGCAACTCTCACGGTTTTGACGCCCTCGAGTAAAATGATTTTCATCGTGATCTGGGAGAAACAGAGCCCAGCAATTTCCATGCCTTGACGGTTTCTCAGACCCAAATCCTGCTTCGTTTGTACATAGATCCTATATGCAAAAATGAAAAAAGAAGAAGAAAAGGGGGGGGGGAGGAAACACCCCCTCAGGTAGATAGGTTGTAGTACGGCAATGCTCGTTGTTGTTCTGTCCCAGTATCCCGTGCAGAACCCTTTGCAAACGTTGGTCAGCCACACGAGAAAGTATCACAAGTGAATGATAAAAATTTGAGAAGAAGGAAGAAAAAAAAAGAAGAGTTGGAGTGACACATGGCAAACACCCCTTTCCCATATGAACAACAAAAAAGCAACCCATACGAAGCCGAGTCCAGCCCGTTCCATCCTCTTTGCTCGGTATCGCTCCGAGGGAAAAAGGCCCGGCCTTCTCCTCACCACAGCTTCGCTCTGTTGTGTCCACCAGGGAAACCATCTCGGTATTTTGAAAGAACAAAAAGCCTCCGTAGGAGGCGGCGACGACTCCTGCGTCTTGGCCAAACAAAGCAGAACCGATCCGCGCGCGCGCGCGCGCGCGCCGCCCCCAATCCCTCCGTCTCGCCATGTCAAAAAAAAAAAACCAGCCGCTTTTTCGTGTAGTGTTTTCAACTCCTTGAACCCATGCCAGGTCTTCCAGCGAACCAGGCCGTGAACAAAAAGAAAAGAAAAATAAAATAGAAGAAAAGCACCAACGTGACCCCCTCCGGTCTCCCCTTCCTCTGCACACTCCGATATGTTTCGAATGGTGCGGGTATTAAATGTGATAACGAATGCCCGGAAGGGGAGAGGGCGATGGCCATGCCCGCTTGGAAGTGGAAACTGATCGGGGGAAAAAAAAGGTAAAAAGAAGAAGAAAAGAAGTGAGTTAAAAAAAAAAAAGACAACCAAACAGTAAAACCATAGTGCCTGCAGCCATTTTGTTCACACCTTATCGTACAACCAAGCGCTTCTTGAGTCCAGCTGCTTTTGATGGTCCAAGACCATATTGAGCCACATTGAGTTGCCCCTAGGAAGCCCGGTTCCGTTCCCTAGATTATGTTTGCAATGCTCAACCTGTCTTGGGGTCGGCCCTTGTTGCTCGCCGTCGGGCTGCTGTTGCTGCTTCCCTCACCCGTAGGCATCATACTGGGCAGGGTCGGCGTGCCCTCGGTCTTGATACCGGCCGGGAGAGTGCTCCACGTCGCGGACGTCGGTGTTGGCGTGGAGTTGCCCGATGCCAGCCCCCGCATGGCCACCTCGAGGCGTTCCCAGCCTCCCCATTCCTTGATTTCGCTGTCGGTCAGACCGGTCCGCTGCTCTACGCTGAACAGGCCACTGCTGGCGCCGCCAGGGGCCGTGATCGAGCCGGGCGAGGTCGGGGACAAGATGGCCTCGCGCTCGCCGCCGGCCCAGATCCAAGCGGATTCCGGCGCTGCCTGCAGGTCGGCACTGACGTATGCCAGAAGCTCCTCGTCATGCAGGAGAGCCTCCTGCAGCGGCGTCGGGCCCGGGCGGCCTTGGGGCGGAGGAGGCGGGGCAAACGGCTTCGGGGGCGTCGTGCGAGCGACAAATGCAGCATACTCGGCGCGTTTGGACGCAAGGGTGGACACGAAGAAGGCGAGGAATCGTCCGCAGGGAATGGCGACGTCGCGTCTGCTGTCAATGGACGCAAGCGCGCGCAGGCATGTTGCTGCGTGGTCCCAATATCCTGCCAAGAGGAGGAAGAGGGCGCAGCGGAAGGTGTGGGTGGTGAGGAGCGCGGTAGCTCCCTCTGCAAGGCTCGGGGTCGCGCGCGAAAGGAGGGAGGCCGTCTCGAGTGCCGTGTGGGTGCACTGCTCCATGGCGGCGAGCCGCACGTCGGGCGGGCAGCTCGGACCGAGGTTATGGCGGTGTAACACGAGACGGGCGTGCAGGAGGTAGGTAAACGGGGTCAGGAGGTGAGGCGAGATCTGTCCCGTGCTAGCCGTGTCACAAACCGGAGGGAAAGCCCGGAGGCAGGTGACGAAGTGCTGGTCAAAGGTCGCGAGCCTGGTCGGCGCTATTACTGGTGCGGCCAGCGTCTTGATCAGGGACGAGTATGACCTGATGACGTTGATCAAAGCCAACAGAGAGTGGTTCAGGGGCTCGCGGCCGGGAGGCACCATGATGCCCCCTTCGTGGATGTAGTGGTCGTCAACGCCGGCAGGGAGAGAGACGTCGCAGTCAGCGTCGTCAATCAATACCGGCCGGCCGAGGTCGAGTGCCAGGCTCCTGTCGAGGATGTAAATCGTCCACCACACTCGCCGGCGCATTTCGCCTTCGACAACGGGCCAGGGCCCGGTTTCCGAGTACAGTCCCAGGTCTTGTCCGGCTCGGACTGTGCTGCCGAGCCACATCCAGGCGGCCGACTTTTGGTTCATCTCGTTGAGGCACAAGGTGACGAGTACCAAGGCGCGTACGTTGTCGAGCACGTAGTCGTTGTTCCAGGGGTCAATCATACCTCTAGCAACTTCCAACAGCTCGGCGGCCCGATACGCGCGGTTTGTGTGGCGGTCCTGGCTGAAGAGGCTCCCGAGCGCGAGGGCCGCGAAGAAGGTCGACAACCACGCCGGCTGCACTGACTTTGTGTTCCCGATTCTGTACAGGTCGTCAACTCCCGTTTGGAACGTCGGCCAGTGGAGAATGGGGAACATGGTGTGGGCAGAGCCGTAGTAGGCGTGGAGGAGCTGGTCAGTGGTCTGTCTCGGGGGCAGGTCAGGTCTCGGAGGGTCAAACATCGGGTTCGAGGCTGCCTGGCGGTGCTGAGCAGGGGGTTTCCAGATGCCCCGGGAGAAGACGCGCATGTTGGACCTCGCCCGCGCCAGGTCGTGAATAGGGGCCGGGCGTTTCTTCCGCTTGGGATCGCTGCCAATCTCTGGTAGTTGAAGTGGCAACTGTTCGAGGCCGTCCGGGTCCAGATCCATCGCTCCGTCCCTTTCCTGAAGCATCCGTCTCATGTTGCTGTTGTCTCGCCTCAGGCGTTCCATCTGCTTCTCGAGGTCCTGCACCTGCTTGATCGAAGACATCCGTCGGTTGGTCTCTTTTGTGAACTGACACTTGACATTGCGGCTAGAGCATTCGGAACAGCTAGTCGTCTCTGTGGCGTCGCACTTGACCTTTCTTTCCCGACATGCGTCGCAACTCGGGTCTTTCCTCCTCTGCCTATACGCCCTCTTCTGGGCCTGGGAGATGGGCGGTAAGGTCGCAGTTGACGGGCCAGGCGTGCTCGCCACGGAGTCGGCCGAGGGGAGGGAGTCACGGCCCATCATCGATCCAGCAGTTACCGGGGTGTAGGGCGTGAAGACGTTTTGGTTAACCGGCGGTAAAGGAGGGATGCCGATGGGCTGGGGCGGGGGTGCCGCTGATGTCCTCGACCCGGTGTTCATGATGCCTCGGGGTATATAATGGGCAGGCTGTCTTGGGGACGTTGCCGACGAGACCGAAGATGAGTCGTACGACCGTGTTGAAGGATTAGGAGATCGTGGATACGAGTTGTGCGACGATGTAGCCATGGCGGAGCACTGCTCGGGAGACCAGTACTCGCGAGGCTGGTTCATACGAGTGTCCACAAGCTCCCCAAGACGGTGCACAATGGGGATACGTCGCTCCACGAACATACAGGCGGATGGGCCAGAGCTTGGAACGATTGGTTGTTGCTGGAATGGTTAGATCCTTTGGCTCAGAGTCCGGGGCGAGGTTTGGCGCGGACAGTCTCTTGGATGCGTGCTGTGGTTGTGGTCGAAGGGGTTGGAGGGAGACAGAAAGAGAGATAGAGACAGAGAGACAGAGAGACAGAGAGACAGAGATCGCCGCGTGTATAGTACGAGCGAACCGGTTAGGCTGCAGCCTCTGTGTGACTTGAAGTCGCCTTGATTCTCGTGGCCCAATGGCCGTGTTGGTGTCTGATACCACCGTTGTTGTGGACGATGATATGATGTTGTTGCTGCTGTTGCAAGACAAAGTTTGTCATGCAGTGCGGCGGCTTGGTCAGCAAGAAAGCCCGTCGAGTCCCGTCAAGATAGTCGTTGGTATGCGTGTGTTGCTATAGAACCTGGCCGGAAGCTGGACAAGCAGGAACGATATGGATGGACAGAGTACGGCTTTGGTTCGTAAACAAAAGAACAGTGAGATGAACAAGCACCAAGTTCCAATGTCGGGCGGGGGGTAGAGAGATGTAAAAATGACAAGGCGTGTATGGCACAGCGGGATGGTGGCAGACATGCAAGAAGTGCCACACTACCCAGTAAGCGGCGCCTAGTCGGAGTAAAGAGCGAGCAGGCGGGCCAGGAAGGCTAAGGCAAGGCAAGGTAAGGCAAGGCAAGGTATGGTGGTCTTGGGCTGTCATGTCACTCAACGGGTACAATGCCGCCGGGGTTTTAGTGACGATGGTCTGTGGTGCCATCGAGGCATTGGGTCTGGATCCGGGGGTCTCCGCGTGCGAGGAAGCAGAATCGGAAATATTATCTCTGGAGGGGTGGTGGAGGGCTAGACGAACATCCCTGCCCGCACACCGGGCCCCAAGGAAGCAGGGAAGACGAACGAACAGGGCTGTGGGAGGTGCTCATCAACCAAAGTAACTAACGTGTTTCGACGGAGAGTGGGCACTGTCAGGATGCCAGGGTCTTGGTCCGAGAGAGCGAGGGGACCCAGGAACCTCGGACTGGTCACCAGGAACCCTCACCCTTGAACCCTGCTCCCAAGCGTTGACACCAGGGATGGGGGTGATGGCAAATCGGCAACAGCTTCGAGAAATAAGGTCGCTGTGCCGCGCGACTCACTGGCATTTCCCGTCGAGAGCGAGCCAGTTGGAGCTTGGCCGGGATGACTGACCTAAACTTCTGTCCTGTGTGTGTGTGTGTGTGTGTGTGTGTGTCTGTGTCTGTGTGAGCAGGAAAGCAAGGGTGGGAAGGCAACAAATGGCGATTCTCATCCAAATAGGGGTTTGTGTGTTAGAGGAGGGTTGGCGGGCTAATACTGCTCAGCCGTATGTACGGACTTGATCTCCGAAGGCTACCATGCATCGTGTTCTTTCTCTCTCTCTCTCTCTCTCTCTCTCTCTCTCTCTCTCTCTCTCTCTCTCTTCATCGGGCATATTGCTAGTGGTGGGCCGAAACAGGAAAGGAGAGGAGGGCGCCTTATAGTCTATGCTAGGTAGCGCACCCTAGACTGAAAGCTCGGCTTGCCTGTTGCAGAGGAAAGCGGAGAGACACGTTGGTATATGCACCTGAAGCCTAGGAAGGGGAGAGAGTAAAGTCTTGATACAGCCCTCGGCCAGGGCTCGGAAAGGTCAAAAGGGCAGGGCAGTACGGAGCATTGTGGAAAGACGTGCACTAAGCATGTATCGCGTGTGCGGTGTGGCTGGGCATGGTGCGTCTCTCTCGTTGGGTCGGTTGTCTTTTGCAGAGAACAAACAGCTGCAGACTAGGCACAGAAAGCTCTTCCGTTTCTGCACTTGGTCGCAGGAGACCAGTAGTTGACGGAGCTGTTGAGAGAAGTCGACCGGCCTTCTTTTGGTTTGCGCCACTTGACGTGCTGGTGCTGTAGGCGGACGGTGTGGCTATTTTGGGACATGGCGCGCGTTCAGAATGCTTCCAACAACAGTGGCAGCAGTGTCCAGGTGATCCATTTCTGGCCCAGGCCGCATGTAGCGTTCTTTGCACGATGCCTCCTCACCCGGCTGTGGCTTCTTTTTTGTCTCTCCATCGACCCCGGACAAGAGGTTTGGTTGAGAACGCGGTAGGCGACTGAACAGCCGATGGCCGAGCCGAATATAACCTGCCCGGACGGTGGCGCTTGATATGAAAGGGACCAACAAGCCTCCCGCCGGGAGCTATTGAACAATGATCATCGGGGAGAAGGTTACCAACTGGCCGCAATGGGGTTGGTTGGTGGCCGGGACAAGCATGGCTCTGACCATGCAACCGCATCCCGATCTCATCATAAAATCTGACATAAGAGAATGCCCCGTGGTATTAATGCTAGTTCAACACCAGCAAGCCAAAGTTGCGTTCTCACTAGGGGAGGGGGGGGGGAAGGGGATTTGCATTGCAATTGCGCACGGCGGGGAGGGGGGAAGGATTCCTGGCCCAAGGGCAGAAACTAAGATAAATGAAACATACGATCAACGTGCCTGACTTGATGACAGTCTTGTACGCACGTATGTACCCGCGCGCGCGAGCTTCTTCGATCGAGTCAAGAGTACGCACAAGAGTCAAGAGCCAATGATTCTTTCTTCCGCTTTACAAATAGCGGAGTGCCATGGGTGATGTGGTGGCCTTTCCCAGGGGGTTTCTTTTTTGTTTTGTCGTCAACGCTCGCCCGCCCGCTCGCTTGGCTCTGGGCGTTCTGCAACGGCCGGGCACGTGTCGCGATTACCGCAGATGGTAACGGACAATAAGCATATTTGGGGTGGAAGAACCGAAACCCCTCGACTGACGTCTTATCTCTCCGAGAGAGTCGTCGGTGGACTAGGAAGGGGGGCGGCCGAGGAGACAGGGCAGCAGATGAAGAAGGAAGCACAAGCGGCGGCCGTTGCTGCTAGCGGTCTCAAACGCGTGGCGTTGGATGGCCTCGTCGGGAGGCCCTGTAATTTGTGAGCAAAAAGTTTGACACCTGAGCCGGAGGGGGTGGGGGGTCCCTCGCATAGCCTTGCCGTACTTTTTGTCCAGCCCCGGCCGACCGATTCGAGGCTCCTCTCCGGGCTGTTGGCTAGGGGGCTATTTGGCGAGGGGGTGTGTGTGTGTGTGCATGTACGAAGTGTGTGTGTATGTGCGTGTGTGTATGTGTGTGTGTGTGTGTGTGTGTGTGTGTGTGAGAGAGAGAGAGAGAGAGAGAGAGAGAGAGAGAGAGAGAGAGAGAGAGAGAGAGAGAGAGAGAGAGAGAGAGAGAGAGAGAGAGAGAGAGAGAGAGAGAGAGAGAGAGAGAGAGAGAGAGAGAGAGAGAGAGAGAGAGAGAGAGAGAGAGAGAGAGTGAGAGTGTGTGTGTGTGTGTATGAGTGACTGTATGTATGTCCATGTCTGTCTGCGTGCGTATATGTTTTTGCACGAGCGGGAATCTGCATGTCGCCGCAAGAGAGCACGGCCGGTCCACAGGCCACGCAACGGGCGTTGCAAGGGCCTGATGTTCTGATGTTGCCAGTAGGTAGCAGGGTATAATGTGACGAGTTTGACAGGCCCCCCCCCCGAAGCCTACTGAACCGCGCGAGGGCGAACAATATGAGCTTTTGCCTTCACGAAAAGGGTCTTTCGCCCACCCACGTTGGCCCCCTGCCGGGAGTGCGATCGGGGAGTGATGGTGCCGACGTTGCTGTGTGGACTACATACACAATCGAACAAGTATTGCAGCCGTCAGTCTCGAGAAAAGAGGTGGGATCCAGAATTGAGGCGCAATCGCCGTTCGGAAAGCCTCGATTCTCCTCGTCGATGTTGGGTTAGTTCCAGGGGGGGGGAGAGTTTCCGAGGCTGGCGGAGTCGTTCGGGTACAAGGTCCACGCGCAGCAGAAGGGAGGGGGGGCGGAGGGGTCCTTGACCAGTATCAATGATGACGGATGATGTCCCGAACCGTGGTTTTGGCCCATTCAGCCTGCCGGAGCTGAGATTCTGGGACTTGCTTGGCAAACCCAAAAGGGGGGGGTTTGGGACAACAAGATTTGGGGCCCTGTTATCTGTACCGAGCGCGGGCTGTGGGACGTCAGGGGCGGACGAGAAGGGCGAGCATGAAGATGATTGTGATATGATGGACGTGCTAACGTAGGGGGAGCAGCAGCCTGTGATTCCTATTCGACAAGTACGGACGACGAAGCCCGCCCCGCCCCAGGGAGGCATCCATAGTTGGGTAGATATCGATATCAGGAAACCAACGCAAAACAAGTCTGATGGGGTCACACTGCCACAGAATGCCAGGCCGGCTGGTCGGGGTGTAATGGCATGCGGGTGTTTGGATAGGAGACACAGAGCGATACGGCCCTGGGCAGAGAAGGTCATGCCATGGTTGATGAGAAACCAACTGCCGGCACTGCACCAATTCTTTTTTGCTTTCTTTATTTTACTACATTTCATTCGAGAAACGGCCTAAATGCCGACGAGTAAATCCGGGACAGGGGGGAGGTGAAGGGTATCAGGGCGGTGACTGCGTGCGAGAGTCGACCTGTCAGCGATCACACATCAACAGGCCGCGGCGGGGCGGATCAGCGTCGCCCAGGATATGAGCAAGTATCCTTGTGACGGCTTGCGGGTGAGCCTCAGGGCGACCTACTGTGTAGGTGCAAGTTGGTCTGTCATCCTGTCTTCCAACCCGTCAGGAAACAGATCAAACCACCCTCAGGAAGAGTCGAAACTGAAAGGTTAGAGACCGAATGTGCTAAGAATAAGCCATGGCGGGCGAATGGGAAGGGGGAATGCTGGCAGGAAAGCTATGGCACAACGGACAACGTTCATCCTGCTGCAGTGACAAGTGGCAGGCAGAGGCCAGTGACGGTATCAATCCCCGCAAGGCCCAAAATTGGCTTGCTTAAACAGAACGCACGCGGTCTGCGCCAGGGCCTCTGGGAAGGGACGGACGACGGGCATTTTTGTTGATGTAAGACGTCAGAGACCGTCCGATATGTAAAGTAGGGCGGCGTCGAGACGATTCACACGGCATGTTGCTTGTTCACAGACTGCCGGCCAGTGGTGGGCGGCGGTGGCTTGTTTGCGTTGTTTGCTCGTTTGCCTGCCTGCCTGCCTGCCTGCCTGCCTGCCGGGCAGTCTAGGAAGAGACGGAGTGTAGTGGACTACCTACGGACATTGTACCGTCTTGCTTACTGCACGAAGCACGAAGGCAGCTAGGGGCGCGCCGCGCAAGTGTGGATGCTGGCGTGGGCGTGGGCGTGGGCGTTGTGGCAGATGGCCCATGGCCTCGACGAGTCGACAATGCTCGAAGCGGTTAACCCACCCGCCACTGCGTGGTGGCCACATGCTTGGGATGTTGGGGCCCTGCCCTGGAGAAAGCAAGGCAGTGCTAAGAGTTTGAGTAGATGGACTCGAGTCAAGATGGGAACTGCATCGCCCAGGGTCCGGGCTCTTGGCGGGTCTGTTCCTGTCCCTCACCCTCACCCCCCCCCCCGGTCTGTTCTCAAAAGGAAAAACATTGGTGGGGAATCGGGACGGGCAAGATCCCGGGCAGGGGTACGTGGGTTTCTGAGTTGTCTGTAGCTGATCAAGCGAGAGCTGAGGCTTCCAGTGGGCGTGCACTAATACTATGTAAGAGGCGATGACAGTGCCTGTGTCGTCCCAGATTGTTTCTATACCTGGAGGAATCATGGTGCGCATCAACCCTGTTACGAGAACCTTGACTGAGGAGCAACCAAGGTGAACGGACGATGGGCGAGGGATGGCGAGATAAGGGTGAGACAACGGCGAATGGGCCCGTTTCCAGTTGTGAGCAACAGCTCTGTTGTCCGTGACTTGATTAACTGAGTAGAGAAGTAAGATAGGTAATTAGCCAGGCCGGATGGGTGCTACCCAGTCCTGGCTGCGCCGACATGGCCCAGATAGGCAAAAGTGTCGTCGAGTGCGCATTGCAGCATTTGGTCAATGCTAACTAATGCCTTTGTTAGGGTTTGGACACGGAATAGTATTATGGTAGGTATCTTGCATGGCGGCATGGCCCGGGCAGTGAGACATTCTAGATCCTCTCATATTGGATGCAGAGAATCTGTACGAGTGTATAGCAAGGAGCAGATACGCTCAGTACGCTAGTGGGAGAGAGGGCAAAGCTCGGCCGCTCTACCGGCCACGCCAATCGGGGACATGGCGGCAAACCAAACGGGCCTCCACAGCGGGTTCGTCGAGTTCCGCCCGGATGTGTGTGGAGAAAAGAAGGGCCAGGATGTGCGGACTTAACGGGTTGGAGGAGGGCTTGGTGGCTGGACACAGGGTAACCGGCTCCAGGCTTGGGGGGCAGCCCTGGAAGTTCAAGCTTCTTTCTTTAGCGCCACCGCTTCCGAGACTGTCGTTACAAGGTTTGGCGAATGGACGGACGGGTGGGTTTTGTGAATGGGTGTGTGTGTGCGTGTGTGCGTGTGTGAGATGGATGGTGCGTCGTCGTTGACGAACAGTGATGAGCGCCAGTGGCTTGCCCTGACGTGACAGTCCGATGTCATTGGAAGAAATAAGCAAACCGTCGACACCTCGAGCCAAGGGGCCTTGAGAGAAAATAGTCAGCAACCAATTGCATTTGGGCAACGTCGCTGTGGCCGCACCGCATCTACCTGTAAACCAGGGGCTTGAGGGGTGTAACAGGGACCAGGCCTTGATTCCGAGTCTTGGGCTGCTGCACGGGAGGGTATTGAGCCGTGGCACCGTCGTTTTTTTAGTGTCGGAGCGAGACTGTAGCGCGTTGAGCGCGGTAAAGAGAGAGGTAGGTGGCACGACAGGCAGTCCGTCCTGTCTCGAGGAACGGCAAGAGTCGCGCGAATAGTGCGCTGCTTCGGTTGATGACCAGAACGGCATATCTGCGTGCGAGTGTAGCGGGATGCGCTCTCAAAGACTCGATTCATCCATCCACAGTGGTTACGAGCATGTCTCCAGCACGCCTCTGGTTCCTGCGGCCAGCTTGTCGGCCTTGGTGGAGGCTCAGACCTGGGGAGCTGGGAGGAGGCGGGGGAGGGAGGGAACAAGCATGCCGGCTCATCAGCGTTCGTCTGAGGGAAGGGGGGCCAGAGTCTGGAGACTGGATGTTCCGCATATGCCGAGCAAGTCAAGCGGAAGCCAAGCTCGTCTGACCGTCAGAGGGTTCGCCTCACCGTTTCTCTCCTATTTTATTTCATTTGGTATTGCTTGGCATGACTGATCAGGCGGGATCAGATCGTTGCCAAACAAGAGACGGTTAGCGAGAGAGAGAGAGAGAGAGAGAGAGAGAGAGAGAGAGAGAGAGAGAGAGAGAGAGAGAGAACGGAGCATGCTTTTGGCACCATGCCCCTGAAGTAAGCAAAAGGATGCTGTATGCGTGTTGGTACAGGTAGACTTGCGGAAAGTTCAACATCTCGTCCGCATTGTGTGTTCGGTGCTGCTGCTGTTGTGTTTTGCTTTGTTTAGACTTGCTCTGGTGATCTGCTTGGGCCCAGCCGGGAGAGTTTTCCGCCCAGGGGGGGGATTTGGGAAAGCCTGTCGATGCCATTTACGACGTAGATGGCATGTTTCTGGCGATCTCGGCGCGGGATCTGTCGGCAAAGAAACCCAAGAGCAGCAGACCCCCGGCCATTGTTGTGCGGCGATCCTTGTTGATCGAGCAGAGTTTGTTATACTCGTCGGCCCCAAGCGACGATGGTGCTGGGAAACTTACGGGAGGGTTGTGTCGTGCTGGTGATGTAGGGGCCGACGGACGGTTGATGGTGGTGGTGGTCGGGGTGGTGTGCCATCCTAACACGCTAGGAATAGCACGGCAAACGGCGTGCCGGAAGTGGTGTCGACGGAATAGTTCCCGGGTCCTGGTGTTGGAGGTGTTGCAATGCGGATGGAATCGGTTTTGCATTCGTCAGCTACAACGGCCGGAGTCATTTAGAACGGCTCAGAAGGCTTCTCTCCCTCTCTGTCTCTGTCTATCCCCCTACACGCTCCCTCTCGCTCCCAATGTCTCAACACGGATGGAAACATTTGCGTACCGGTAGATTGAAGAGCAGGGGGGGCTTTGCTGCAGGTATCATGAACATGGACAAGATCGTCACCTCAATGACAGAACTTTGACGGGGAAGGGTCCCAAAAGCTAACAAGCACCAGGCTAGGCCAGGCTAGCAGCAACAGGGCAGGCTTCAGGGCACCACAGATGGGCCAGGCCCAGCCAGAACTGGCCGACCGGACAACGTACGGCGCAATCTCTCGCTGGCGCTTTGGTGATGCCCAGACTGCTTGTCCGTGGGGGTGAGAAGAGAAGGAGAGCCTGAGGCAAGAAGGCGAGTGGTCGCGTGGCCCTGTGGATGGAAAGTGAAGAAGCGGGGCTCGTTGGATGCGAGGATATCCGATAGGATGCAGACTTGAGTAGTGTTGAGTTGAGTTGGGGGTTCTTGGGCCGCCGAGTCTTTGGGTTTGAAGGGGGGAGGGGGTGGATATGAGTCTATCAGATTCACTCCGAGTGTGAAAGAATCATACTCCCATGGTATTGCATTGAGGGTATGGGTGACAGGTACCTACCCTCGACGTCAAAGATGTGTAAAGAAGGAAGGACGACATGTCTCCCATTCCGTCCATTTCCATACTCAAATGACTCAGTGATGAACAGAGCCTCACGATGTTCTCGGTCATGCATGACCTCCATCATGTGGTTTTTTTTTTTTTTTGGCAACAACCCTGTTCGTTCCCTGCATGTCAGTCGGCATCGTCGACAGCGCATATACCTGTACATACATACATAGATACACAGATGTATACATACATACATATATACATAGATACATATACCGAATGTACAGGGTGGCAAGGGGAAATAAAATACCCCAGTTATGTAATATTGATACACAGTCCAGCTGGCTAGGCTAGTAAACAGTACTGTAATCCCCGCTACTGAAATAAGTAGGGTGGTGAGTGTTAGAGTAAGATACCTAACAGGGGTATTTTATTTCGGCCTGGTACCATAGTACGTATCGTAGGTATGTTACATAGTAATTGATATCAGGCGACCACTACCATGTGTGCTGTAGTAGGTATGTACAATACCTTGGCAACACCTACATAACAGTGCATCTGTAGATGCCGCCGACCTTCTCAAGTTCCTGATCTTACATCGTATGTAGCTAGGTAGGTAGGTAGGTAGGTAGGTAGCCAGCTAATGCACAAACATCCTGCGTCTTTCCATTTCCAGATGCTGCAGGCGAGCATGAGTCCATACTAGGTAGGCATACGATATTGGTATTACATAACTTGTATCCGTACTGTGTGATGGAAGTTGTGCGGCGGTACGTGCCGGCCGGTTCCTCTTGACATCACGCATCGATGCGGGCAGGTGCACTGTACGAGTACAGTGCACCTTATACAGTGTACATAGCCTCACTGCCGCTAGCCCGGTCGTGGCATAGCCTCTCGGGTCTGGCAGGGAGATCCTCCGATGTACTTCCGTAGATACCTCCACATCGTCGTGCGTGCCTTGTCTTGCCGTCCCGAATCCCTCGGACTCGTTCTTGCCGTCTTCGGTATCTGATCCTGGTCTGGGCCGGGGGGGGGAGGGCCTGCTGCTCCTGCTCCTGCTGCTGTCTGCTGCTGTTGCTCCTACTGCTCCTGCTGTTGCTCCTGCTGTTGCTCCTGCTGTTGCTCCTACTGCTCCTGCTGCTGCTCCTGCTGCTGCCCCTGCTCCTGCTGCTGTTGCTCCCTACTGCTCCTGCTGCTCCTGCTCTTACTTACTTGCTCCTTCCCTTCCTTGCCCTTGTTCTCTCTGCCTTACTCCATTCTTCTTGGTGTGCGGATACTCTGCGTTGCATTTCCTCGATATTCGTAGACCCTTGTCTTCCCGTACCCCAAGTCGACCCCTTCGTTCGTTCTCTCTCTCTCTCTCTCTCTCTCTCTCTCTCTCTCTCTCTCTCTCTCTCTCTCTCTCTCTCTCTCTCTCATTGTCTCTCTCTCATTGTCTCTCCTTTCAGTGCTTACGAATATGTGCGTGGCCCTAGGGAGCGGCTACGCCTTCCGGCTAGCTTGTTATACTAGAGCGTTGCAAGTAAGTACTATACACCTGTCCTTGAGCAGCTATCTTCTCCTTGATCGCGGTACACGGTACGTATGCATAGTACAGATACTAAGAAAGTGCAACACGCTAGGTAGATATCCAACCCAACCCGCCGTCCATCAAACACACATCGTGGCCAGAGCCGGCAATCCGTCGTCGACCGTCTGCCATCGACCGTCCGTCTACCTCCCAAAGAACGCTATGTGCTACAATGCCGGCAGACCATCCGAACCCTAACCGGTGGGGGGCCTTGAGTGGGACGGCGGCTGTTGAGCTGTTGAGCCAAGTCCGTTGCCTTTTTTTGTTTTCTTTACCCTGTCAGTCTCGCCCTCTGAGGCGCTCCGCATTCCCGTGCCCGAACTGACTGTACTTATTTACAGTACTATACGTAGTCCTGTACACGTACCAATCACGGTCCGCCTACCTGCCCGCCCTTGATACCAAGCGTCGTATCCTCCTCACACGATCCCTGGCCTGCCAAACTTTGGAGTCGAGACTGCGATCTGCGCCGCCGACTCAGACATGTGCATAATTTGCCCGTTGTCTCTGCACCGACCTGACCCAGCTCGCGTCATCTTGCACTGCCGGCAGATCAACAACCGTTGCCATTCCGGCTGAGGTTGTCAACGGGGCCCCCGGCCCACGGCGGGTGCCTGATGTGACGAGACAGGCGCATCCAAACACGCCGATACTTGGGTCAGCCGCTCGCTGCGCCAACCATTGCAATCCCACACACACTGTACCTACATAGTACGCCGCTTCCCAATTCTTTGGCTTGCCGGAGCCAACACGAATTGCCTTCCCCTGTCTGTCTACTCGCCCGGGCACCTCCTGAAATCTGATATTGAACCACCCACTTACACTAAGGCTACTGCCAGCCACTCAATGCCCGCCAATGTCCGTATATCCTCTAGTCTAGCTTTTGCCGATCTAGGAACCGTCGGCCCCACGCCGCCAAACTAATCTCGTTCCCGCTGTCCGTGTTCTCCGGATGTTGGGAATACCGGTACCTCCTCTTGATGGCGCCCAAGCGCGACACGCGCCTTTCCGAAGCGGGCTCGTGTGGTGGACCAACTAAGGCACGTTACCCATGAGCTGAGAGTTTCTCTGTGTCGAAATCTTTCGCATCAGTACCATGCACATACATGTACGATGTACTTTTTATGCCAACTCAAGTCACCGATGCGCCAGCCACACCCGTCTAGCCCGCCCCTGTCTGTTTCCCTTCGCAGAGCACGGACTATGGAGCGTCTCTACATAGTACGTACAGATACGTGTGCATACATACATACAACGAGTTCAGCACTTACCAACCCGATATCCCGCACATGTACATCGTACTTCAGCAAAGGGGGCTCCGCCGCCCGGGGAATTTGATGACGACCGTCTCCTCCCTAGGCTAGTGGCAACGCTACCGAGCCCGCAGATTGACAAGTACGATGTACATGTCCACTGAAGGGGGGGGAGAGTTTCCACCTCCATGACTTTTGATCATTCGGCATGATCCGGATGCCCCCAAAGCCCATCAAATGGCACAGGGGAAAATCACTGCTCAGTGTAACGGCCATCCAATTTCCCCGAATCATGTCCCACAGGCTACGTTTTCAACTTTCTGACGGGGACAACGAACAACACGCACAGATACCACTCTACTAGGGCCCCGGACGCCAGGCCCATCGGACGGCCAGGCCTGGCCCGGCCTCAAACCGTTGACAGCGGGCTCTCGACAGGTAGGCGAAATCATCTGCTCAACCGTTGACGACTTCGGCCAGATGTCCGGGAAAACCTCTACTAGGTACAGCGACGCAGAGTTGCCACCCGTGTGCGACACTGGCCGAGTTTCCTCGCTACAGATAGATGCACAACGTGCGTGCTTTTTATAAAACTTGCGCAACAATACGGATCCATACCCACCACCTTTGGGTACGCAATCGCAGGCCGAAATCTCCTCCGACACGACCGTTGCGTCTCCCACGTTCAGCGTCTCTTCTTACAAATGCCCGCCAGACGACCGCATAGCGTCGATCCCATCGCGGCAAAACTAACGTTGGATAGGTTGAGTAAGTAGACTTCTTTGCTATATCATGCCATGCTATGTTGTCTTTCTGTCTGGTACCCCCCTCCACCCCAATATAGTTTACAACCACTCCCCATGCGTTGTAGCACACATACATGCCCTCCTCGGCCAGTCAACCGAGAGGCCGAGCAGACCGAAGCGGCCAGTCGCATAAACCTAGTCCCTCTAGGGCGGCAGGCTATATCATCGCGGTTGCGCAAGATTTGATCTCGCAAACCGCGCCCTCCCGCCCTGGAACGCCCCGTATCCGCTGCTGTGTGTCGAGAACAAGACACAAACGTCCCCTCCCCATGAAACCATGTCCTGGTCAAAGCAAGATTAGTCAACGTACTGATACAAGGCCGTCCGTCCCTCTTGCTGGCTGGATTAGTCAACACGAGCATCTGCGGTAACAACATGCCCCATTATACAGGACGGGGAGCCAGGTGAGCTGGGCAAGGGGCGGAAAAAAGAGGAAAGAGAAAGAGAAGACCAGTTTCGTCCGACCTCGCGACGATACCTACGCTCCTAAAGACCAGACCATACCTATTCCATCTAGAGCTCCCTTTGCCAACGAGCTTGGGACGATGCATGGTCATGCAGCTTCCCACTTCCCGAAGCCCATGCGTACGCGAGGTAACGTCTGGCAAGGCACTGCACGCTACAACTTTTCCGTGTGCCACTGCATATACCATAGTAGCACGCCAATCACGCTCACAACTAGCAAAGCCATCACAGGGGGCAGGACTGGTTCCCAAACCCTTGGCTTGCTCGCTGCTTCGAGTGCCATGGCTGCACACAAAGGGGGTGGGTACATGCAGCCAAGATTCAGCATCGCGCCAGTAATGATATCCCCGGTTTTGGCGAGCCCATAGAGCCATACAACAGCCCATCGTTGGCAGAACCCTTCGATACAGAGACCTGCCGGTATCATCCGTGTCAGGGTGAGGGGCAGCTCACAGCCTTCTTTTCACTACTCAACGCCTGTCCGCCACGGCGTTGTGTTGTTTTCCGGATGTCAGGCTACAATCCTACATGTACCCTGAGTCGACGGCAGCATCATCGGACTTGGCAGAGATGCTCTGCAGGTCTGACTCCGCAAATCCGAAATTGCCCTTCTTTACTATAATGCGACCCGTTTCCCTGCAGGCAACGGCAACGAGTGCATGGTCCAGATAACCCGCCGCGTTCCACATGATGCTGCTTGCAATCAGACTGGCTGGCTGCCGTGGTATATCGGACTTTCACGGCTTTTCCGACCACGATAGAAACTTTCTTGAGTGACGGAAGCGCAGATCGGTGGCAGATTATGCCCCGCCCGGTGCTACAACCGAGCATCAGAATGGAGGCATCCACTTCACGACTCATTGAGTCCCAGCCAGCGCATGGCAATGTAACGCGATCCCGAGTCGGACATACCATTATGTATATACCATGTTTGAATCGGCAACGCGCAAGGCAGAGCAGAGAGGGATGGGAGAGGGAGAGAGTGTGGCCACGCGAGCGGGGCCCGCCCCGGCGGCCGCAGACCTTACGGGTACATGGAACGAGAATGACGATGTTGGTAAAGGTTGCGAAATGGCAGCAATCATGTTAGGGATCCCGACAAGCACCGCATGGGGAGGGGAAACTGGAGACGATGGAGTTGCCGACACAGAGAGGTTGCACGCTTGCCCTCCCCCCCCCCCTCCCCCTCCCCGTGCATGCCGCCAGAATTCGTCACATTTGACACGGAATTGTTGGGCACGTTACGATACATATAAACCCCCGTCCCCCTCATCGACGCCTTTCTTTTCTTTGCTACCTTGGCCGACAATGGCTCGCTCCTCTTCGACGCCACAACTTAGTAGCATAAGCTATAGCTATAGTCGGCGCTATGTCCGAAAGGAGCTGTGGAGCCGAAAGCATCTGATGACAACCGAATGCCGAATCTGTGGAAAGACTGTGATCGACTCCGCACTTTGGTTATATTAATAGCCGAACTTTAGTCCATGACATGGAGCGACGCGCGCGGCACGCCCGAAGTGTGTGTATATACATAGTACCGGTACGGGTCAGACGGAGTTTTTCCACCCACAGCTCGCTCTCTCGCTCTATCTCTCTCTCTCTCTCGCGGCTCGAGCGTGGCTCTGGTTGATCTGGACGAGGCACGAATGTTATGTTAGAGTTTTCTAGGGAAAACCGGGAAACCCGTGCCTCTCCTGTTCCACATCCATAACGAACCGCAGACTAGGCTTTGCTGGCTCGATTGGCGTCCCCTGGCGAAGCGAGCTCGAGATGCCTGGTCGGTGGCCCATATACGGACACACACCTACCGGTACCTACCTAACTACCTACCTACCTACCTACCTGTACACTTTCTGCTACTGTGTACGGAGTAGCAGTAGGGAATCGGCCAGGTTCCATCCGTGAAAGCCAATCTGCTGCCCACTCCACCTGGATGCAGCTGGATGATAACGGTAGCGGTTAACAGGCAGACACATTGCGGGGCTGGCATCTGTGCGCATGCGTACCTCAGGGACTTTTGCCCTAGCGGCCACCTATTTCTCCTAAAGTCAGCATTAAACCTAATAAGGCAGTATAGGGGGCATACTAGGGGGGCTAGCACAGATGTGCCTACATCTGTACCTATATATAAACACTTTACCTACCTACTACATTAGCTGTTGTTTTTTTTCTTTTTTATATTACTACTATTTATCCTTTTATTAACAGTAAGGTTTATATTTCTATTTTTTACTAGGTTACCTACTATAATATTAAAAAGTATAAATTAACTATTATAGCTAACTAAAGTGCCCTACTACTAATTATTAAGTGTAAGACCTACTAGCTAAGTAATAGCCTTCTCTACTTATGTTATATACTAAGCAAGGTAATTAGGTTACTTGTTGTAATAGGCCTCCTTTTGTTAATAGTATTAATTTAATAAAACCTTTATATAGCTTTAAATAGTAAGCCTAGAGGGGATAAGAATGCCCTTATAGTTAGCTATATATAGTATATAGTATACCTTATAAGCCTTATATATCTTATACTTAGCCTTACCTTAGCCCTATATCTATTACTACTAGTAGGCGCCTATAACGTTATCCTTAGTTATAGCCTATTAGAGAATATATTAGTAAGGTAAAACCTACTGCTTATAAAAGCTATAGTTATATACTAGCCTATTATTACCTGCTTATATATTATAATATAAATCTAAACTATTAGTAGTAGCTACCTTTACCTTATAAAGTTTACTAGTAATTAACTTTTATATAAGTATAAGTAGGCAAAAAAGATAAGGTAAGACCTATTATTTATAGAGGACTTTACTATAAAAGTTTATAAAGTATAGCTTAGTAGTAGTAAAGTATCTACTATTAATATAGTTAATATACTTAATAGCCCCTTAGAGGCTAAATTACTAGAGTATATAATAGTAGCTATACTTAATAACACTATAAAGGCCTTTAAGTAGGTTAGTTATTTTAGCCTAGAGTAGTAGTAATAAATAGTTATAGGTATAGTTAGCCTAGAGGTTAAGTGTTAGTAGCTAGTTATTTTTAATATAGGTAGCTTCCTTATATATTAAACTTTTTATTATAGTAGCAATAGATTTATAATAACCTAGCCTTATATAGTAATATTTTAACGTAGAGATTATATAACGTAGGCTAGTTAAGTGTTTTATAAGACAACAGTAGAAGGTTCTTTTACAGTAGATATAGCAGAGGAAGTATAATACCTCTATTTTACTATCTATAAGGCTATAAAAAGCATTATATATAGCGCGTTATTTAATAGCTAAATTATTAGTAAGAAAGTAATATAACTACTAGTTAGCCTAGCCCTTTAACGTATATAAGTAAGCAGTAATAATATTAGTATTACCTTTTTTAGTAAGAAAGTAGCTAACTAGTATTTAGCTACCTATAGTATCTTTAACTATAACTATATAAAATAGCTAGCTAAGCTAGTTAGTCTAATAGGTAGTATTTATTATAGTAAAAAGGCTATATTACTATAATAACGTAAGGCTAGCCTTAGAGGCCTATATAAGCCTTTTGCTTACCTTATTAGTACATTAGACTATATAATACTAAAATTAAAGGTTATAGGCGTAGTAATAAGCCTTAGCTTTAGTAACTTATAGGTACTATAAATAGTTGTAGCTAATAAAGCAAAGGTTAAAGTAGATAGCTAGCTAGCGGTAGCTTACGTTATATATAGCCTAGCAAGAAAGCTAACAGCTGCCTATAGTTGCTAGCGCCTACTTAATAGCCTTATAGTAGCTAAAGTAGCCTTAGAGTACACAGTAGACTTTAGTAGGTAAATAACTAAGGGCAACTTACTTAGTAGTAAGGTCTTTAATACCCTATAGTAAGCAGATTTAATTAAGGTATTTAAGTAGGTAGTTATAAAGGCCTAGGCTAACTTATAAAATAACTACTGTTATAGTAAAGTTGCCTATCTATTACTTAATAACTTTAGTATATATAAGGTAACTAGTGCCTACCTATATAGTGTAGTTATAGGTTATTATAGCCTTACTGCCTTAAGGCTTATTAGCTTTAGTTAACTAAAGTAGGCAGCAATAGTAAGTAGTAGTAGTACTACTAAAGGTATAGCCTTAAGCTTTAGTTAAATTAAAGAAATTACTAACAAAAGCCTATATTTATTTAAATTTAGTAGCGCCTACCTCTATAGGCTTAGTAAGGTAAAAGTATTACTTATAGTAGGTAGCAAGGTTATTAGGTATAATAATAGGGCTAGCCTAGGTCTTAGGGATATATAAGGTAAGTCCTAATAAAGTAAATAGTTAAATAGGTAAGTAAGCTAGTAAAAGGAATATTCTTACTGTTAAGCTTCTTCTAAAAGTCCTCTAGGTTAAAGTTAACTATATTGTCCTTATAGTTAGGCAGTAAGGGCACTTAGAAGGTTATAATTTTGTTATCTAATACGTTAATTATATTAGCCTTGCTAGTAGTTAATAGAGGGATATCTAATACTATAGTAATATAAAGAAAACAATAATAATAAGGTAAAAGGTTAATTAGTAATAAATAATATAGTTAATAATAGGTTAGTAGTAATAGGTTAGTAGTAATAGGTTAGTAGTAATAGGTTGTTAACTTGCTGTTGTTATACGTAGGTAGGTAGTCTAGTTAACCTTAAAAAAACGCAGAGGATGTAGTAGACCTACATTAACTAGATTAACTAATTAGAATATCTAAATATATCTATTATTTTAATATAATTAATGTTAGTTGTAGTGTAGTACTTTAGGGGCCTGTGGGCAGACCCACAATGTGTCTGCCTGTTAACTGCTACTATGATAACCGAGAGGCTAAGCAGCCGTCACCGGCCACCGGGCCCCCTCGACGGAGTTGCGTCCAAAGTGGCACATGCTCCGGTTACCACCCCCTTCCAAGCTACACCCTCTCAAAAGTCGGCATCGAACGGACAATGTGCAAGTGCAGGTTACACTACAGGCATCATTGCAGCAGCCCAGGTTGCAGATGCGCCCCGGGTCGGGTCAATCACAGCGTTCCAGAGACGCCACCGACCGCCACACAATCTGGATTCTGGACTCAGCGTGCCGTTCGGTATCTCCGCCGGGAAGGAACAGCTCCTGGGAAAGGCAGCGTGATCAACCGCAACCAGAAGACAGGCTCGATGGTGGGTGGCATTCAACCCCGCATGCCAGCAACATACATGGTGTAGTAGATGGGAGGGGGGGGGGTCCCTCCTCCGGCCGGCACCACCATGGCCGGGATTATCTACCACCGCCTCTCCTCAGGCTTTACTTTTTGGCCGACGCCAGACAACACACACACTCACTAGCCGGCTTCAACCCTTTACTACAACTGCACTACCATTAATGGATCTAGCTAGCTACCGGAAATGCCCACTCGGAATGGATACGCCATGTGACGTGGCTGCAATGGCAATGGACACCAGGACGGGGTGCTGGCAATATCGTATCGCCGTGATTTAAGCCGTATACCAGAAACAACTACTCCGACGGTTCGATGCGACGGAGACGGGCCGTGGTCGCAGCATATGTCCAATAGTGCCGCCGTCTCACCTCCAGCGCGATGCAACCTCTCAGGAAGAAAGATATGCATTCGCTTGCTTATCTTAACCCCGTCAATTATTGCCCGCCTCTTTCTTTCCTCTCTCTCTCACTTATACGCCACGCCGGAGACTGACCCATAATGGTAGTCCTGGGGAACAGTTACTGAGCCAAGGCCATGGCCAAATCACTCGAAGGGAGTACAATCCAGCTACAAACAAATGCGGGGGATATTCAGGCTCTCTCCTACACGAGAGAGGCTGGGCGGACGGGGGAGCAGCGTTCTCGTCTACAATACTGATACGGGCACAGCTGGGAGGACTCTACCAGGACCGCTCGGGCGTGTCAATGAGAAGCCCGAATGCCTTGTGGTCCGAGGTCGTCGCGTCAGTCTTGGAACAAGAAAAGGTTTCTTAGTCGCATCCCATGTCTTCGGATAAGGGACGACGACAATGAGGGGGGAAGTATGGCATGAGAGATGGTTGGCGGCTTCAAACAGACCGCAAACCAGAATTAGAACGGGAAGGGAGGTGGTAGGCTCGCCATGTCTCTGTCCCTCTCACTCACTCTCTCTCTCTCCCCCCCCCCCCCCCCCCCCCCCTTTCGAACCACGAAAACCGCCATCGAGTATACTGCGCACAAGCCTTTGGACGCACGCACGCACGCACGCGCGCATGCGGAAACGGAAACGGCCATGACAAGCTTAAAAATACACGAGGGACGAGGGATAAGTGGCCAGTCAAGACAGCTCAACCCTTTCCACACGCGGCACGCCGGAGCTGATACTGTCGATAAGCTTCCGAGCATGACTGGCGAGGAGGACTTCTGGTCGGGGCAGAGATCGATGCTCGCGACGGCTCACGTCACAGATGCCGTAGGACAGCCCGTGCCAGGTATGGATGGGGCTGACAACCAAAGCATAAATGGACGCGCCTTTCCGGAAGGGTTGGCTAAAAAAGCCAGGGACCTTTGCTTAAGCTCGACGGGTCGGAGCAACAGCCCGACGGAGCACATGCAGCCGTCATCCAACGTCGATATTATCAACCAAAAAAAAAGAGAAAAAAAAAAAGCCCAGGACCTGAGGAAGGAAATCGTATGGTATGGTGTCATCCTCTCGGTGCCGACGATGCGAACGCAACCATCCGACCCTGCAAGTGCTGCGTACTACTCCGTATGTAGACTCCAAACCAGGGATCGGTAAATACGCCGTCGGTTGGCTCACCCGGCCCATCGAGGAGACGACCGATCTAACCGCCGAAATCCACCCCGGTCTATAGTGGGATTTCTTTTTCTTTCTTTTTCTTTTTTTATTGTTTCCTTCCCCCTCCCCCTTCTTCTTCTTCTTCTTATCCCGCCCCCTTCCTCCCTGGTCCGTACCGACGCCCCTCCCCGCAGTTCACTCGGACACCTTTGGGATCTGCGATCGGCTGTCTTCCCTCCCTCCCTTTGAGACGCCAAGTCGACGTTGAAATCGACTCTGGGATCATCCCTCCGCGATGCTCTTCGTCCTTCGGCTCACCGGGAGGCGGCGGCCTGGTTTCCACGTGCTCGATGGCCTCTGTAACAAGAAAAAGCAACCAGTCAAGGTCTGGATACTAGACTAGAAGCGGTATGCCCCCTTCTCCTTTGTGTCATGGGAGGAAAGGGAGGGGGTAAGGTAGGAGACAGAGAGAGGGGGGGGGGGCGGCGGAAGGGGTCGTTGCGATTCTCGAGACTTTCTTCCAGGGACCTCGAACCTTGGAGCCGCCAGACTCGGCAGGATGGTTTGGCTAGCAGCGGCAATTGGATGCGTGAACCAGTTGGATGGCTTCCGAGATCCAACGGTGCTGGCCGCTGCCGGACCGCTGAAGCCCCCTCGCCCGGGGCCCTCCCCTTCGGCCGGTGGCATGACCGCCGTCTGCGGCAGCCGTTTGAACTTGCTGTCAGTCTCCAAGTATTAGGGCCGTCATGATTCAGCCCGAGTGTGTACGAATACGTACGTGGGTTAGTGCGAGTGCGAGTGAGTGTGTGCGCGTGAGTATGTGTGTGCAACTTTGTGCCTTGTTCCCGGCCGTCTCGCATCATCGGGCGATTCTCATCTGGTGTCTGGAAAAGGATGCTATTCAGGGACGTGTCTGTCGATGTTTTGCCGAAGCCCTGCCGATTCTAATCGCCATTCTTCGTTCCTCTTGGCGCGCCGTGCGCTCCAACCTGCTGCCCGGCAAGCAGCAACCCGTCCCCACCCCGGTCCGCTAGATCTGCGGCGTCGACACACATTTCGAGGGCCGTGGAACGGAATGTGTGATCTCATGGGATGGATGGTGTTCTGCTCAGCTTCGATGATGGCCAAGCCCAGCCAGCCCTCGAGAATCGAAATGCGCGACATGGACACCCGCGATGACATACGCGGGCGCACGCGGGAGGGAGAGGGGGGGGCGCAGAGCTTAATCGTGCAGTGCTTGTTTTGTCGTAGGTCATATTCGTCCAATGTGGTCTTCCCCCCATCTCTCTCTCTCTCTCTCTCTCCTCCCTCCTACCCCCCGGTGTCGATGCTACTCTTAGCCCGCTTCAACATGGATATTTCAAACCATCCTGTCGTTCGACGGCTACGCTGGTCGTGCGTTTAATGCCGCAGGCGTCAAAAACCGGGGGGGAAATGGGCCAGATGCAGGAAGATGGATGGAAGGGTAGGGGTTTTTTTTTTTTTGTCCCTTTCGGCTGGCGAGGCTTCTTCTTCTTCTTCTTCTTCTTCTTCTTCTTCTTCTTCTTCTCCTTGTTCTTCTCCTTCTTTTTTCTTTCCACCCCTCCCTGAAGTCGTGGTGTGGGAAGTTTATTGGTCAGGGGAACCTGATACTTGACAGTCGAATCGCACCTCCTCCCCCCTCCTCTCTATCCCTCCCTCGGCACACTGGGTCCCCCCCTGGTCCGATAATGGAACGTTTTGAACCGCTTGTTTCTCCGGGCGCCGATGGTGACCACCACCGCCACCTGGTTTGAATACCCGCAAAAAGACGGTCCCTGGAGGCGTGGAGTCCGGGTTTACTGGATTTCTCGATTGGGGAGAGCGAGAAAAGGGTTGGCGGAACCGTATTATTCGCCGTCACCCATACACGGGCAGAGGCTGGCTAGTCCTAGCGGCCCAACGAAGGCCCTGATGGTCTGTCTGTCTCACTTCGCCGCGTTCCACCGATCTACCCGAGACGGTGCTCGCCGACGGCGCTCGATGGGAGAGAGGGAGGGCCTTCCGATCATGTAACCACACGATTCGGGGGCATGTCCGGGACCAACTTGGTCCCAAACTCGGAAAGTTGAGATTTGATTTCCAATGACATGACACGCAAGGATGAGGAGAAAGTTTGGTAGGCAGATGCTTAGCCTTGCGCCCATCCTTTTCGAAGCCTTCCAGAAGCTCTCCGAGATCTATTTTTGGTCGTGAACGACAAAGGAGACGTTGGAAAACCGCCGTCCGTGTTGGGCAGACTTTTCCTGTTGAAACATGTCTGTCTGCACCTCCATCTCCCCAATCTCGCATCCTCTCGCACATCACCCGTACATCCTGATCCAAGCCGGTCGCCACACATCCCAAACACACGCACACTCTCTCCCACTGGCGATCCGTACACACACCACGCACACCCATACAACGCACACACGCACACACGCACACACGCACACACCCCTATAGGTGCCCGACATGTGCAAAGACGGCCTCCATGATTTCTTGGTCGATCTGCCCAAGTGCGAGCACCACATCCATATCGAGGGCTCCTTGGGGCCCGAGCTGTTGTTCCAACTCGCCGCACGGAACGGCGTCCCCCTGCCGGTCGACAGGGATCCGGCCTTCGCGTCCGTCGAGGCCCTGTACGAGCGATACCGCAACTTCACTTCGCTCGACGACTTCCTGCACTACTACTTCATCGGCTTCTCCGTCCTGCTGACGGCGACCGACTTTGAGGAGCTGGGGTACGCCTACTTCGCAAAGGCGCACTCGCAAAACGTGCGGCACGCCGAGGTCTTTTTCGATCCGCAGGCGCACACCAGCCGGGGCGTGGGGTACGAGACCGTCATCGAGGGCCTGAGACGGGCCCGCCGCCGCGCCGAGGCCGACTTCGAGATGACGGTCGAGTACATTGTATGCCTCCTCCGCCACTGCCCCGTCGAGGACGGCATGCGCGTGTTCGTCGAGGCGCGGGACGCGGGCCACTTCCGGGACGGCACCGTCGCGGGGCTGGGCATGTCGAGCAGCGAGGCGCCGTACCCGCCCAGCATGTTCGCGGCCGTCTACGCCGCGGCCCGGGAGGCGGGGGTCCGGCGCACGGCGCACGTGGGGGAGGAAGGGCCGGCGGGGTACGTCGTCTCGGCCCTTGACGATCTGGGAGTGGAGCGCGTCGACCACGGTCGGCGGTCGGCCGAGGACGAGGCGCTGCTGACGCGGCTGGCGGCGGCCGGGACGCTGCTGAGCCTGTGCCCCGTGTCCAATGTCGTGCTGCGCGGCGTGCGGGACATGCGGGAGATGCCCATCCGGGAGTTCCTCGACGGCGGCGTGCGGTTCAGCATCAACAGCGACGACCCGGCCTACTTTGGCGGGTACATCCTCGAGAACTACTGCGCGGTGCAGGAGGCGTTTGGGCTGAGCGTCGACGAGTGGCGAGGCATCGCGACGGGGGCCGTCGAGGGGAGCTGGTGTTCCGAGGCGAGGAAGCGGGAGCTGGTCGTGGAGATCGAGGGCGTCGTCGCCAGGCATCAGGGGGCGAGAGTTTAGGCGGTTCCCCGGCCGTTCGAGGCGACGGGTAAATATGCCGTCACGACAGGTGTCTTTGTAGGGGTGACGGGATCCGATGTTTGATCATGGGACTTTGGGGGAGGGGGGGCGGAATGAGGGCCGTGTTAGACATGACGCCCTTTTCTCCGGTGCTCACTGACATCGTGCTACGACACCTGTTTGAAGAGCCTCCATGTGAGACTTGTTCGTGTTGAAACCCACTCAGCGGGGGGGAGGGGGCAAGTCCAATGTTGTTTGCTGGCCGCCAAGAGGACCGTGGGGAGGAAGAGATACCAAGATCGTGATGGGGAATATGCCCTGGGAGATGCCCGGGAGGCCGAAAGCGGGTCCTTGTTTCTTCCCCTTACTTTGGAGGTTGTAAAGGAATAACAAATCCCGAGGCAAAACAGGCTTGCCAACGGCTTCCCCATATGTTCATATCCCAGATTCGTGAGAGACACGGCATGCTTAGGGCCGGAGACTTGGGTGTATGCCCGTCGGCTCCGTTCTCTCGGTCTTCGTTCGCGGTCTTCGGCGTCATGCTCGTCGCGTTTCGCGGCATTCGTGACGCTCCGCCTGAGTATCTGAAGACGGTTACATCTGCGCCAGTATCAGAAGTCGATGGTGATGGGGTGGTCTTGCTTGCCCCCGTTTTTTCTTGTGAAATCTGCCCTGTGCTTCGTCTGGCTAGTGAATTACCCTCACACTCCTGTGACAAGCCCGCTCTGTTGCTTCTGTGAGAGGATTGCGACCATGCTGGTTGGCGAGGTTGGACGATAAGCAGATCCGCAGTCTGGACTCTTTTCGTGAAACCAGCATGACTTCCTTTTTTTGGTCCCGAATTTTGAAGCGTGGCTGTTACGTCTGGCTTGCAGCGGACTTGGTCATCGTTAACCTTGATGGAGATGACGACCCCCAGATCTCCTTGGACCGCGGGAACGCGCCTATCAAACAATCATACCCGTCGTGTTGGTGAGCATGCCGAGCTCTGTCACCTTGAGTGTAGATCTTCCCTTTGATACACGGTGCTTGTGATTGTGTGATCGGCCTCCCACTTTAGTTGCTTTTTTCTGCTCCATGCTATAAGTTAGTCGTTATTGCTCGAATATGCAAGGACCGGTGGTATCAGGACAGAAGACAAAGTTTTTATATTGTTAAGGGTTCTGGAGGCAGGCGTGTCTTGTGTGGCGAGAGAGTGTCTTGCGTGACGATAGAGTGTCTTGTTCAAAACATGCAGATAACCTTTGTACACACGTAGTACGGGCACAACCTTATGAGAGGAAAACTGGTTTTAATTAAGTGTAATCTGATGGTGGCTACCCCTACGAACCACACTTCTTGAAGTATGCTCAAAAGTATGTCTTCTGGAAAGTGATTATGGAGCCGACGTGGAAGGATATCTGATTGATCAATGCGTGCTCTTGAATCCTGTTTTGCAATAGCAATCATTAGGCCCATTACGAATCTGTTCTTTAACTGGCAGTCTCTTAAGGTTCAGTAAAGAAGGACATGGAAGGGCAGCAATGGTGTGACCCAAATGACCCTGTCATAGCGGGTTCTCGTTCCGCCTCAATCAAGACCAGAGAAGCTTTTGCCATTCCACAAGGAAGGCGAGACATCGTCGTTTCTCTTTTGAGTGTTATTCTTCATGGGGGCTCGTGATGAAAGGCCTTAGAGATAGTTACCCCTTCTCCACTCTGTTTGCACCGAACAAGTCGATGATACGGACCATGAGTTGGTATCGTTTCTGTTCGAGGTCTGTACGGGAGATCACTTCTGTGCATACCACCGAAAAAAAAAAGGCTTGCTCAGACTTGCCTGATATCAAGACACGAGGCCATCAATCACTCTCGTCAGAATGCAGCTCTGGAATTTCGACTATATAACTGATGAGAATTGGTATCCAGCATTTCCATCACAATCGTATCAATCATAACATCATCATGCACCCCCCCTTACACAGTTGCCCCGGCAGCCTCTCCGTCAACCGTCAAACTCGCAGCCTCTTCTTCGTCGCTAGACTTGACCAGCTTGATGCCGACGTCCGCGTCCTGGGAGTACACCCGCAGGCCAAGCACGCATACAGCGTTCCACGGTGGGCCTGCGAGCTCCTCGCCGTCATCTCTGTCGATGGACTCGGTGTCAGAGTCCGAGTCCGAGTCCTCTTCTTCCTCGACTGGCGCTTCCACGAGAACCTCTTCCTCTTTGGTGGCAGGCGAGGGCACAACGGACGCCTCGGCCGTATCGGCCTCCTTGACAGCGGGAGCGTCTCCCTTACTCTCATCCTTTTTCTCCTCTGTCTTCTCTTCGGCTTTCTTTTCGTCCTCCTTCTTGGGCTCCGGCACGGGCCCGTCACCGGGCTTGGAACCAGTCAGGCCTGCTGGCTTATCGTCTGTGGTAGCAAGCTTCTGGCTGCTGCCGGTGGACTCTTTGTCGGACTCTTTGACCTCGGTCCAGTCGCCGTCTTTCTCCTTCTCCTTTTCCTGGCTGGCCTCTTTCTTCGTCTCCGGCTTCTCCGCGGACTTGCTCTCCTCGGTCTTCTTCCCTTCGTTGGCTAGCTCCGATACGACCTTGGCTGACTCCTCGAGTGCCTTGGCCGCGACGCCGAGCGCCTTTTTCTGCTTCTTCTTCTTCTTGGCCTTCCTGCTCTCCTTCTTCTGCTTCGCCTCGAGCTTCTTCTTCTCAATCAGCCCGTCCTCGTCCCGCACGCCGCCCTTGGAGTGCGCTATGTCGTACTGCAGCCCGACCTGCCGCAGCTTCTGCGGGTTGCGTTCCGCGTATTCCCTGACGACCTCCTCGACGGGCTTGGCGGCGTCGCCGTTGTGGTGGCGCGTGGCCGTCACCTTGGGGAGAACCTCGTATACACCAGGCTCCAGATCGACCTCGCAGCTGACGGAGCGGTTCTCCCACTTATGCACGGGGCGGACACGGCAGATCTGCTCCGGCTCGAGGGCGTTTTTAGTCTTCTCTCCCTCCTCGGATTTGTCGCCGGTGACTTCCGGGATAGCCTTTTGTAGGACAAAGTGCAGTTCAAACCAGTATTGGCCCTCAAACCCATGGAAGTATCGGTCGTCGAGCTGCGTAAGAACGATGACGACCATGCCCGACTTTTTGACCTCGACGATGAACTTGGTATGGAGGTAGCCTGTCACCCAAGAGATGTTGGCCGAGGTCCACTGCTGTACGACGGTCCACTTCTCGTCGAACAGGCGGGTGCGGTGGATGTACATGAACGTCGACAGCATGTCTTCGTACGACATCCAGAAGACGCCGTCGTCGCCGAAAGTGTGGTTCATTCGCTTCAGCCAGTACGGCGTCCACTCCTTTGAGCCATCAGACCAGGGGCCATTCCACTCGCCGACACCGCCGTCGGATCTTTCGCCCCAGGGGTTTCTGGCAGGGAGAAACGTTAGTCGGCCTGCTCAAAATCCACTGTTATCAAGAAGGCTTACCTGATCTGCACGAGGCGGACCTTCTTGCCGTCCTCGTCCACCTCTTCTCGGGATTGGAGGATGGAGTACGCGTGTCCCAGTGCGAGACCGCTCTTCTGCCAGTCCCAGCCAGTGCCCATGGCGGCCAGAGCAAAGACAAACTCGCCGTCGGTGTTGACAAGCTCCTTCCAGAGCCTGTCCTTCCGAAGCACTCGGTTAGTGGCAATTGTCGAGGTGACGCCACCTGTCATGTCCTCCACCGCTTCACCGGGCCAGCCACCCGAGATGGCCTCGTAGTCGCCGTGGACTTTGGCATAGGCCTTTTCGAGTAGCGGCAGCCATGTCTCGTTCTGGTCCTCGCAGCGGGCGAAGTACAAGGCGTCGGAGCCCGTCTGATTGCGTTTGCGGTGCAGACGGGCCTTCTTGCCGCTGGCGTCGTAGACGTCGCCGTAATAATCAAAGTCGGAGTCCTTGAGGTAGAGGTTATCGTCGATGACGGTCGAGATCCACTCGCCGTCGCGCTGGAAGACGAACCCATAAACGCCGCATTCCTCGTCACGCGCAACGCATACCTTTTGCATAAGGTCTTTGCGGTGCGCAATCGTTGCGACAGCGGCGAGCCACCAGCAATCGCCATTGGCGCCCTGTTTGATGTCAGACGAGGAGTAGCCGTTGACTGTAAACTGAGGAGACTCGAAGATCCAGTCGAGACGATGGATGGAGCCCGGGCTATAATACTCGCCTCCCCGGACACCCTGACGCTTGGAGGCCTTGACAGGGCCCGATCTTAGCCCCGCTCGCGCCCCTGAGCCGTCTCTCGCACTGGCAAAGGGGTTCCAGATATCATCGCTGCTCCCCAGAAAGCGGCTCACCACGGCCGGGTCGATGGGAATGGTGGAGTTAGGCCCCAAGACCTGAGCAGCAGCCAAGGTGTCGAAGCTGTTCTTGACGTCCCAGCTGCTGACATTGGGTCCATCATCAGCCGCGCGGCCGCCGCCCCCAGGACCGAAGTCAGAGTCGCGGACGAGGCCGTTGAGGCAGTTGTTGTAGGGATCACGCTCGATATCGAAGTCTGCATCGGTGAATTTCTCGTTCGTCCGTTCGCACTCGCGGACGATGCGCTTCACCTTCTCCCGACACTCGCGGGCGGCGGCTTCATAGGATTCTTGGGCGTTGCGGGTAGACGAGGCGCCCCGGGGCTGGAAGTCGGGGAGCAGAGAAGCATAGAGGGACCGGGGGAAGATGGATGTCACCTTCCCGGGGTGCTTCGAATGGAACTTGTTCCAGAAGTCGGAGAGAATCTCTTGAGGGGCTTTCTTGTTGCGCTTGTCAGATGGTACGGCAGGCACCACGGCTGGCGGAGGGTCACCGTAGGGCGCCATAGTGTGTAGATTGAAGTCTGATGACCTAACAAAGCCGGGATCAAAGACGTTTTGTTGAGCCGGGTGGTGAAGACTGTCTCGTAAAGAAGAGGAACTGACTGGAGTAGCACCCACTCAGTGGGGGTTCATAGAGATATATCACCAGTTTAAATAACTCTCTGGCATATAAAGCCAAGCAGCTCCCCGCCGCAACACACTTATCGAACACCTCATGACCCTGGCATCTAGGGCTGACGGGCCAGTGGTGGCTTTGGGGGCAGGGATTGGCGGCGCTAGCTCTGGGACCTGGCCAGCACACTGTCGCATCGCAAGACGGCGAATGAAAAAGATGATGGGAGGACAACCTCTTGCATTGCGGAAGAGCCAAGTGGCTCGCAAGTGCGCCTGAGTGCAGCAAATCCCTGGTTTTGCATGTGGCAGGCAGCCTGGACAATCAATGACTGCAAAATCAGGCTGGACTGGCGCGGCGCTACGCTACGCTACGCTACGCTACGGCTGGGGTTCAGGGTCCAGGATCGAGATGGATGCGCCACAACATCAGGCTGGCGGCAAGCGATGCAGAGATGGACGAGCCCAGCTGGCCGAAAGTTGGAGGCAAACACGTCGGGGAATATAGCGTTGGCGTCTCGGTTCGAGGCGGGGAGGTTGGCTGGCGCGATGAATTGGCGAATCTCACGTAATATCCAGACGATGCATGCAGTGACATGCAGGCAGGTCACATTCGCGTTTACGACCAGCCGGTTTTGGGGGATGCGGGGAGATGCAGCTGAACAACACGTCTTGAGACGATGTACGGAGTACTGCTTGGGGAATTGGCCAATGTCCAATTTGATTGCCTGGAGTGGGTGCCGGTTTATCTTGTGAAATTCCTGTCTCATGTCAGCCGCCGTCTCGGATGATAGTCGTGGCATCAGGCACAAGAGCTCGGCTTGGGCTAATAGTGATGTTGTAGGGATAGATATCCAACCTTGGGTCGTCGACCAGAGTCAGGAGCTCTCGCATCTAGCAACGAGCCAACAAGTTCCAATCAGCTTCTCAAGCGAAAACGAAATTGATGAACGAGCACCGCGGCTTAGTGAAAGGCATGTGATGGTATGAACCGGATAAAACAATGTTTGGGGATGATGTATCCGTAGACTTTGCGGTAGTAAGTGAGCGGGTGCTGCAGCTAGATGCCGTTTTGCATATGCGTAATTTGCATTCCTCGATAGACGAAGAGAGGAAACGGCCGCAATCTGCACGAGGCATATGCAACTTGGCCGACAATGCCATGTGCGGGGACTGTATCGGGTGACAGTGTTAGTGATCATGGACACTGTCTCTTAGCGGCCGTTTCCCCAGCGTTATCGGTTTTATCAGACCCTCGGCTCGAGTCACGTCACCTTTCCCCGTACCTCAGTTTGTTTGCCGATGAGATGGGGGAAGGACGGGGACCTCCATAGTTTCCTTCCCACACACGACCCCATCCATGGATTGGGCCTCAACCACGAACCATCCCAACCATCCTATCCACAAGAAAACCACATTATTCCGTCACCGCCTTGCCTTGCCTCCCTTTGCCTTGAAGACACCCACAGTACTTGCGAGCAACCTTCCCGTTCGTCTATTTCTCCGCCATTTCCAACACACACACACACCATGGTCCTCCTGAATGTCTGATCATTCCCATTTCACACAGTGGCCGCTAGCCTGAGCATTCATCATGTCGCAGCCAGGCTTCCCCGGTGATGATTCGACCATCACACATCTCGTTCAAAACATCGTTGAGGGGGCCGTGCGGTCCGTCGAGGGAGTTCCTATTCCTCTTACGCGTGAGTTGGGCACCGAAGGAACGACGCTCCCACTTCTGGTACCTTGCTAATATCTCGCAACCAGCTCGAACTCCTAATCAGTGGCCCGTCGAAGAACTTGCTACCCGTGAAGCCCTGCGATTTTCCTTAAGCTCCAGCCAAGTCAAGGAACTGCTCGACTTCTCCGCTCTGCTCTATGTCGATGAACCCGACGACAATCTGCTCTGTCCTATTTGCAAGCTTCCCGTCATCACCCCCATAATTACGCCCTGCGATCATACCTTCTGTCTCGAATGCTTGAAGCGCCATTTCCATTCGTCCGATACCTGCCCCATCGATCGAACTAGATTCCGTGCCAAGGACTGCAAGACCTCGAGACTATTGACCAACATCCTCGACAGTCTCATCGTCGAGTGCCCCAATTCCGAGCGAGGATGCGGCGAAAAGGTGAAGCGCGAGGAAGTCGTCAAGCACACTATCAACTGCAGGTACACGCTGCACGACTGTCCCGACAAGGCTTGCGACAAGAGAGTAGAGCAGTGGCTGACCGTCTCGGGTAAATGCTGGCATTTTGAACAGACATGCGAGTACTGCGAGGAGAAGATGGAGGCTGCCTCGATGACGGACCACGTCAACAACAAATGCACCAAAAACACGACAGACTGCGCCGATTGCGGCGAGGCGATAAAGCTGTCTGAAGTAAGCCAGCATCGTGACAACAGCTGCCCCGAGGCCTCGGTTCACTGCACATACTCCCCCTACGGCTGCACCTACAAGACTCTTCGCAAAATGCTTGACGTCCACAAAGACGAGTGCATCTATAAAGTGGTTGCCATCGTCGGCGACAAGGTAAGGTCCCAAGAGAAGCAGATCGAGAGGCTGCAAAAGCAGACGGAAGAGCAGGAACGGCAGATCATGGAGCTGAAGGACGAGCGACGGGAATGTATCTCTTGGGATGACGTCTTCAGCCTGAACGACGTCTCAGGAGGAGCCAAGTTCAAACCCACCGAGGCTGTCATGACCATTTACGAAGACATGGAACGTCGCATGGAGGAGCTCAAGAAGGAGTTTACCGACCTGGAAGGACGGCAGACGGTCATGGTTTTGAACCAGGTCATGCCGATCAAGGATCAGATCACCGAGATCAGGAGCACACTGGGAGTACTCAAGATGCACATGGCCTGGCTCATGAATAAGAGCCGTGAAGAAATCGAGCGCAGCCGCCTGGCCAACCGTAGTGTCGGCAGCACCAGCCGGACGCGAGGCAGCTCCGATAGCGATGGCGAAGCCGCCCCCTCGACTTCTCGGCGACTGAGCGACGGCTCGAATGACATCCCTCGCCTCTGAGGGCCCTCCTCCCATCGATATGCTGTTACTCTAGTCAGCGGATGACGGTGGGTATGATGATTTTCCCACGAACAGAATGGCCAGAGCTGCCATGGAGGATGCATGTATACGTGCTTCCCAAGTCTATGGTCCGGTCGATTGGCCCGTGGGCCTTCAGGCAACCCAGCACCTGATGGACGATACTGATACAGGGTCTTTGTTCTTTATTTCTCCCAGGCCGCGTGGTCATGTACTAGTAAAACATTTGGGTTTCCATGGCGTTTGGGGACAAATAGGCACCGGAAATGCGGTGCGTAAAAACGGAATGGCACGGAAATACCCTTGCGGCTCTCAGCTACCCAGCAAGACGCCCATTCAAAAACAAAGTTTGAGATTCTCTCTTACGCGTATATAGTCAGGGACACATGCAAAATTTTATCATACACGTTGCTCCCCGAGACAGATGACTGGCGAACAACATGTCCCAAATAAATGATACCGTGATGTTATCATCGTAAATCAAACTCGCAGGAGTGGGCAAACAACCTTCAAAGGCTGACCCAAACACACCATATTGAAACCTAGATCTATTGCGCTCATTGACGTTGTATGCCCCTCATATCTCTCCGCCCCTCTTTCGCCGAACTTCATCGCCACTTCCGATCCGATGACGATGACGTACGTTTCATCAAAAGGGGTCCCTACTTTTTGTATGATCGTCTGAACGCGCCCAACGGTAGACTGGTTTCAACATTGAATGAAGGGTTTAGGGGTCTTTCGTTGGTTTCGATCTGGCAATGCCCATCTGCTGTCGAAGGGAACGATCACATAATGCCCTTGTGCTGCAGTGTCGCACCGGCATTGGTTGCTTCAAGCCTGCGCCAAGCAAGAACATAACTAGGCATAAAGACCAAATGGCATAGTTGAACGCAGTCAGAAGCGCATATATCCTCAAGAGCAGACGCAGTTCATGAATCGTTGGGTTCGCGCCAGTCTCGATATGGAATGTCCTGGAATATCTCGAAAACGGGAGGTGAAAGCGCAAATTCCAAAGCTTATCAATCGACGAGTCGTGGTGTCTGACGAGCGGACTTTGGGAGCTTCTGGTGGGATGCCCGCTAATCGGAGACTCCACGCGTCGGACTTAACAGGGGGAGAAGCGTCACAGTGTTTAAAGCTCCGCTCTAGTCCCACTTTTCCGCTTGCCCGTCACTGCTCCCCGCTACCAGCCGTGGTAGCTTTCCTAACAAGGTTGCCTGTCGGATACCTTACGTGACCCGCGAGGCCCTGAACGTCAACCTACGACCGATTCCACCATTGAACGCATTCCTACCTCAACGCTCGACACCTCGCCGTCGCCTTTCTCAATCTCGTCCTAGGAAGCCAGGCTGTCGTCAAATTTCGTACGCAACCCCGCATAACACATCGCTGGCTTCCCATCCATCACGACGGCTAGCCATCATGGATCCCAACGAGAACAGCCAGGCGCCAGACGCACCTGATTCCAGAAAGATGAACGATGTAAGAGCTGCCCGCTCCCTCCTCTCCTACCCGCTGAAACTGGTTGCCGTTGAGATAACCTTCGGTCTTGCTGGCTGTCGCTGCGATACTGACATGCTCGTGGCGGCAACGTTGACGGTGACAATAAGCACGAAGCTACCGAAGACAGCCCGTGAAGATGACGTCTACGAGGCCATCGACAAAGCTTCCAAACAGTGGCCAGCTCGTTGTCGCGTGCAATGCTGCTATGCAATGCTGCTACCTGTTCAACGATTTTACAGATTCTGACTGCCCATGACATAGATCCGGCTTCGACGACTGGCTAAGCTCGGGTCATCGAACAGATCCCCAAAGCCGGAAGACGGCTCACCAAATCCAGAGAACGATGCCGAGACCTCGACCGCAGCCACGACGAACGAAGGCAAGGGCAAATCTCCCGCAGAGGAAACGCCTTCCTCTACACCGAAGCCCGCCCCCGCGAATCCCTTCTCCCAGCTTGGCGTCAGATCCACTTCCGGTGCGTCGCCAACAGCCGAGAGCAGCGCACAGAAACGAGGGTCCTCTAAGATGGACGATCGCGCCCCAGCGCCTGCCCCCACCAAGAAGGCTAACGTGGAGGAATCAGTGGAAGACTTCTCGGACAGGATACTCAGCCACGTCTTCCGCATAACCGTCGACCCGGAACGCCTTACCGATATCCACGGCCATAAGCTGAACTTCCTGTCCGAGGCAAGCCAAGAATTAAAAGAGAATGGGTCACCGCTGAAGCTCACCACTGCTGTCCTCGATAGCGCCCTTCTGGAAGCCGTGACCGCCGTGCCTGCCGACAAGACTATTCTTGGCTACCTTCTTCCTTGTTTTAAGCGTATCGTCCGGTCGAATGTGGTCAAGGAGACACCCGAGAAGCGCGAGGTTTTGGAAGAAGCAAAAAGACTATGTGTCAGCAACTGCCTGTTTGCCCTCACAATCCCTGATCTGTTTGGGTGAGTCATATACCGTTGTGTAGAATGACTTATGACTTTGGACTATGCTGACGATAGTCCCAGACGGTCACAACCCGAGAGCCTGGTCCCGTACCTGCTACGTGGACATGACCAGGACGATGGAATTTGCCTGGACTTCCTCCGAGAGGCTGTGAAAAGGTTTCCCGAGGACGAGCAGTTCCCTGTGGCCTTTGCCGATGCCATGCACTCTATCAGCATAAAACTGTCTGGCCTGACCATGGAGAACGACTACAAGCCATACATTAACGTGAGTGTTACTTGTTCCTGACCTACCCCCTTCTCTGGTCTGTCTTTGATAGAATGAGCTGACGCTGCTTCCAGGCATTGATGTCGTACACCAAGTTCCCTGCTCTGTTGAATGCTATTTCACAACACCCCAACTTCATGACGGCACAGAAGTCTGGTGCAGTGCTTGAAAAAGAGACTATCTTGGGGCCCTTCTTCCGGATTTCACCTCTGCAGTCTGAAGTCACACTGGCATACTTCCCCAACCCGCGAGGCTTGGACCGGAGCCGCGCTGCACCATCCCAAGACGCCTTGCGAGCCATTCTGCGAGTTCACCAGGACGAACTCTTTACTATTGCCAATGCTTTCATCCGAGCAGACACCGATACGAGGGCACGGGTTCTCGATTGGTTTGCTTCTGCAATCAACGCCAACCACAAGCGTAGGGCGCTCCAGGTCGATCCCAAGGAAGTATCATCAGATGGCTTCATGATGAACTTGACTGTCGTCCTGGACCGGTTTTGCTCACCTTTTATGGACACCACATTCTCAAAGGTTGACAGAATCGAAGTGGAATACTTCCGGCGCAATCCCCGCGTCGACATCAAGGAAGAAACGAAGCTTAATGCTGACCAGTCGGCATCTGACGCATTCTATGCTAAGAAGGTGGAAGGCAACTCCAACTTCATCACCGAGGTCTTTTTCTTGACCCTTGCAGCGCATCATTATGGCAGTGAGGCAACAAACTCGAAGCTCAAAAGCTTGGAGCGCGACATAAAGTGGTACGAGAAACATCTGGCAGCTATGGAGGCCGAACGGCCAAAGGTCCAGAATGTAAGTCCTACGTCTTTCCCTTTTGCCGACCATCGTGTTCGGGTTCGGATGCTGTGCAAGTTGTTGCGGAGTTAACCTGTATCCATCAGCAACCAGCACAACTTGCCATGTTTGAGTTGACTCTCAAGAGGCACACAACCGTTCTGGAGAAGGCCATTGCAATGAAGTACGCCATTGAGGGTGTGTTCTTGGACGAGAAGATGCAGGAGCTATCGCTTCGCTTCATGCGATACGTCGCTGTTTGGTTGCTTCGTCTGGCTAGCCAAACAAACTACACCCCTGACAAGGATCTTCAGCTGCCGCTCCCCGCCGAGGAACCTGAGGCTTTTGCGTGTCTCCCAGAGTACGCACTTCAAGACGTGGTGGACAACTTCAAGTTTGTGTATCGGTAAGTCACACTTTGGTTTGCGACACCAGACTACGAACACGGTCGTGTCAAGATATTACTCCCCGGACGACTCATTCTAGTACCCCTCCATCTCAAGGCAGTATCAACTAAGAGATGAGGAGTGTTGCTGACTTGAAAAAGCTATCTACCCCAAATCATGCCATCCGCTGTTGGCAGTGAAATGATTGCGCTGTGCATTGCGTTCCTGCGCTCGTCCGAGTATATCAAGAATCCCTACCTCAAGTCTTCTCTGGTCACTCTGCTTTTCTCTGGAACCTGGCCGTTCATGCACTTCAAGAAGGGAGTTCTAGGCGATCAGCTCTATGGATCAAAATTCGCAAACGAAAACCTCTTACACGCGCTCATGAAGTTCTACATCGAGGCGGAGTCGACTGGTGCCCACACCCAGTTCTACGACAAGTTCAACATCCGTTATGAGATCTTCCAAGTCATCAAGTGCGTCTGGGGTAACGACGTTTACAAGCAGCAGTTGACGAGAGAGAGCAAGTAAGTTGACAAGAGCTGGCCATCCTCCCCCCACCCCCAAACCAGTCGCCCCATTTTCTTCGAACCCCCGCCCCTTGTTAAACCCTGAACCACGTCGAGTATCATAGGCAAACGATGAGATACTTGATATCTAACCAAATTTAGGGTTAACCGGCAGTTCTTTGTTCAATTCGTTAACCTGCTGCTCAATGACGCCACCTACGTGCTCGACGAGGCGTTGACGAAATTCCCCAAGATCCACACGTTGCAGCAAGAACTGGAGTTTGGCAATAGCCTGTCGGCACAGGACAGGGAGAAGAAGCAGGAAGAGCTGCAGGCGTTGGAGGGCCAGGCAGGCTCATACATGCAGCTTGCTAACGAGACACTGGCAATGATGAAACTCTTCACGTCGGCACTGGCGTCAGCCTTCACCATGCCCGAAATCGTGCAGCGTCTGGCTAGTATGCTCAACTACAATCTGGAGACGCTGGCGGGCCCGAAAATGGGCCAGCTCAAGGTGAACAACCCGACAAAGTACCACTTCCAACCTCGAGTTTTGCTTTCGGACTTTGTCGACATCTACCTCAACCTGGGCTCGTCACAGGCGTTCATCGACGCGGTCGCTTCGGACGGCCGTTCGTACAAGCCCGAGGTGTTCGACAAGGCGGGCTTCATTCTGTCGAAGCGGAGCATGAAGGATGCCAACGAGCTCGAGCAGTTCAACAGCCTGAAGGCCAAGTTCCAGGAGTCGAAGCAGATCTCGGACCAGGCGGAACTCGACCTCGGCGACATCCCGGCCGAGTTCGAGGATCCGATCATGGGCGATCTGATGAAGGACCCCGTCATCCTGCCGTCGAAGCACATTGTCGACCGCGGCACCATCGTGCAACACTTGCTCTCGGACCCCAAGGATCCTTTCACGCGTCAACCGATGACGGTGGACGATGCGATTCCGCACACGGAGCTGAAGGAGAAGATTCAGAAGTGGAGAGAGGAGAAGATTGCGGCCGCCAAGGCCAGGGCACAAGGTGAGGCAATGGACACGACGGAGGGTTGATTGACGACGGATGGGGGGAGGATGGGAGGATGGGAGGATGTCATGGCTTGTTCCTGGGAGGTGGCCCGGGCGACGAAGCATTGCATCTTATTTATGAATAGACATTCATAGGTCCCTCGGCACGGAGGGTCAGGCAGCACTAGCGAGGCCAAAAAGACGGTAGCCCTTCCTGGAATAGACGAAGAATACGCTTGGTATGAAGCGAGGCATTTGGAGCGGGATGGCCGCTATATGTGACAGATGAGCGTAGCAGACGTAAGCCCCCGAGGCAGAAGAAGCTCGGGGCCAAGCTGGGATAGATGGTCATGGCTTGGTAAGTGAAGGAAACACGAGATGTGTTCCGGGAGTAAGAAGATGATGCCAGTCCCGCGTTGCCAGCAGCCTCGGTTCAATGTTACAAACGGGGCGACGGACAAAGCGCGTGTTTAAAGGCATTGGACTTGGTTGTCTTGGGGCGAGACGTGCTGACAGAGGTCAGCTGAAGGAGGGGAGGGAGCCGTGAGGTTTCGGATGGCTACGCAGATGGGCCGAAAGTCGAACCACGATCGGCGGCCGCATGGTGGCTCTCGTTGTTGGGGCGGAGCTGGGCCACAGGGAGCGGGAGGCGGCGAAGGTGATGCGCGGGGGGGTTGCGGGTTTGTTTGTTCACTGTTAGGGAAAGTTTCTTTCTTTACCTGGCTCACCCACAGTGGTTCTGGACCCTCTTGAGAATTGGATGACACGTCTTGGCGGTCGCGTGGGGGTTTCCTCGGCGAAGAAGAAGAAGAAGAAATGGCATGGCTGTTGCTGATTTTCCCACCCTCTCGGAAATTTAGGATCGGGGGGAAGGCAGGGGCTGCGTCTGGCTGGATGGTCGCACACGTACATGGTGATGAGTGAGGTGGTTGATGACTGGAGCACCTGGGCGAACAAGTGGTCGTTACGTCATTGGATACCCATCTAGGAAGAGTTTGAGGGAAATACGGGCGGTGCCTCTCGTCTGCGTTCCTCCCTCCCTCCTCCCCTGGTCTGATGCGTTTTACATACATGGACTTTGAGGGAGTGGTTTTCGATTTGTTTGGTTTTCCGGGATGTGGTGGGAGTTGGGCATTGATGGCCGAACCGGTTTATCCAGAGAAGGATGGCTGTTGATTGCTCGAGGCACAATTGTTGTCCCAGATAGATGATGGATGGACACATACTAGTAACTTGGGCGATGGAGCTGAGGAAGTTCGGCACGACCCATGCAGCCCCTCCTACCTAGTCTAGGCCAGTCCCGGGTCTACCGCAGTACTAATCTACGTAGTTGTACATGATTGACAACTTCTCAGGGGGAGGGGGGACCGGTGTGTATGTGTGTGTGTGTGTGTGTGTGTGCGGAAGGCCGGCACAGTTGACGATTGGACGAAACATGGAGGTTTCCTTGGTGCCGGCTGCTAGGGTTGGTGTGCTTGTGCTTCGTACGCGCCAACTAGGGGTCTCTCGCTCTGTGAGTCGTGGTCGTGATTCTTGTGGACCACCACCCCGACATGTCAACCCGTGCTAAGCTTTAATGGCGTTGGCTTGGGACCTGGGGAAAGCTGCCGTATCCGTTGTGTCTTGAGAGATGGACCGACCGAGGGAGGGGCAGGTTTATAAAAAAAGAAAGAAAAAAAAAGAACATGGATAAAGGGAGGCCGCCCTCTCTCTCACTCAATCCACTCCTGGTGGGTTGATGTTGTCCCAAAGTCCAGTCCGACCATCTCTTCTGATTTGCGGATATTATTACCGCCACCATTTCTTCTCTCTTCCTTTCTTTCTCTCTTTTTATTTTTTTATTTTCCCCTTTTTGGTTTCCCAAAGAAACTACAGAGGGCATAAACACAACACGAACGCATTCTCGAAAAGGCAGGCGTGTGTCACGGCTCGGTAATTCAACAACTTTGCTGAGATACCGGTACGATACTCACCTAGGTAGGTACCTAGGTATGTATCCAAGGCCCGTGCGGGTACGGATACCGGTACTCTTTGCGGAATAAACGGGACGTACCGAAGCTTCAGCCCACTCATTCATTGCCCCTCCCCTCCCCGGTGAAGTAAATCAGGCCTGCCAAGGACTCTGCATACAGCTTCATGTCGATGATGTAGGTAAACAGGTAATGATGGGTATGTAGGTGGCTTCAGGCTGTGTTTCTGGCTGCAAGCGGTACGTACTGACAACACCGCGCCTTGCCCACCCCGCCTTCCGGGTTCAGCGTGTGTGAGAGAGTGTGAAAATGAGAGTGACAGTGAGCTAGCTGCTCGATCAGTCACCCCACTTGCAGCTAGCTAAGTAGTAGGTAGGTAGCTACCTAGCTAGCGAGCTGTCACCGTCTTTCCTTTACGTGCCATCTTTCCGAGCTTCCAAAGCAGAAGGCAGATGCTGCTCCTCTTCTCTTCTCCTCCTGTCCCTCTCGCTGTCCTCTCCCCCAACCCGCTTACTCCGGATCTACGTCTCATCGCCATACCTCGCCTGGTCTCACCCTAGCTCAGCTCCATTCGCTCCTCGGTTTTCCCAACTCATCATATAAACACCCTCCCCCATCCGCCCTTCACGTCCTTTTCTGAACCTCCCCTCGTCCCATACACTTCACGCATACACAGTCCGTCCCCTTTATCGGTCAATAGATAAACCAGAAATACTCAATTCTTCCCGAGAAAAAAATGGTCCACCTCGCAACCGTCAACACGCCCCCCGACTCGGGCTCCGACGACTCGGACACCACCGCCGAGCTCAAGAAGGTCCAGCACCAGCTCTCCAAGGTCCAGCTCCAGCTCGCCGATGAGGATGACAGCTTCACCACCAGCGTCTACGGCTCCCGCTTTGCCAACCAGGACCTGCCCAGGAACGAGATGCCCGAAGACGAGATGCCCAAGGACGTCGCCTATCGCATGATCAAGGACGAGCTCAGCCTCGACGGCAACCCCATGCTCAAGTAGGCTCCATTCGTCACTCCTTCTCTCACTTCTCGCCTGCCCGTTCGTCTCTGACTTTTGCAATGTTTATAGCCTTGCCTCGTTCGTGACGACCTACATGGTGGGTATCATCCGTCCCGCGCCTCCCCCCTCAACTTGTGCTGACCACCCCAACCACAGGAAGAAGAGGCCGAGAAGCTCATGGTAATTCAGAAACTCCCTCCTTTTAGCAAACCAATCCCATTCTAACAGCCTTAAATACCGAATCGTTCGCGAAAAACTTCATAGGTAGAAGAACCCCCCCCCCCCCCCCCCATCACTACCATCCAGTAACTGCCGCTCACAATTATATTTTAGACTATGAAGAATACCCCCAGTCCGCCGACATCCAAAACCGCTGCGTCTCCATGATTGGCAAGCTCTTCAACGCCCCCGTGGGCGCGGGCGTCGGCGCCGTCGGCACCTCGTGCGTCGGCTCCTCCGAGGCTATCATGCTCGCAGTCCTCGCCATGAAGAAGCGCTGGAAGAACGCGCGCCAGGCGGCCGGCCTGCCCACCGACCGCCCCAACATCGTCATGTCGAGCGCCGTCCAGGTGTGCTGGGAGAAGGCGGCGCGCTACTTCGAGGTCGAGGAGAAGCTCGTCTACTGCGCGCCCGACCGCTACGTCATCGACCCGGCTGAGACCGTCGCCCTCGTCGACGAGAACACCATCGGCATCTGCGCCATCCTCGGCACCACCTACACCGGCGAGTACGAGGACGTCAAGGCCGTCAACGACCTGCTGGTGGAAAAGGGCATGGACGTCTCCATCCATGTCGACGCCGCCAGCGGGGGCTTTGTCGCCCCCTTTGTCGTGCCCGGCCTGGAGTGGGATTTCCGCCTCAAGAACGTCGTCTCCATCAACGTCTCCGGTCACAAGGTATAAAAAACAGCAACCCCCCCTTTCCCTCACCCCTGACGCAGCTTCGACTAACAACAACTCCGCGGCAGTACGGCCTGGTATACCCCGGCGTCGGCTGGGTCGTCTGGCGCTCCGCCGAGTTCCTCCCGCAGGAGCTCGTCTTCAACATCAACTACCTCGGCGCCGACCAGGCCTCCTTCACCCTCAACTTCTCCAAGGGCGCCTCCCAGGTCATCGGCCAGTACTACCAGCTCATCCGCCTCGGCAAGAAGGGCTACCGCGCCATCATGTCCAACCTCACCCGCACCGCCGACTACCTCACCCGATCCCTCGAGGTCCTCGGCTTCGTTATCATGTCCAAGCGCTCCGGCGAGGGCCTTCCCCTCGTCGCCTTCCGCCTCCCCGACGCCGCCGGCGGCGGTGAGGACGGCGGCCGCACCTACGACGAGTTCGCCCTCGCCCACCAGCTCCGCGTCCGCGGCTGGGTCGTCCCCGCCTACACCATGGCCCCCAAGACGAACGACCTCAAGATGCTCCGCGTCGTCGTCCGCGAGGACTTCAGCAAGGCCCGCTGCGACGCCCTCATCGCCGACATCAAGCTGTGCATGGGCCTGCTCGAGCAGATGGACCACGCCAGCGTCCAGCGCCAGCAGGACTTCATCCACAAGCACCACCTCACCAGCTCAAAGGCCTCCCACAACCACCCAAAATTCAGAGTTTGTCCCCCCCCCCCCCCCCCCCCCCCTTCCCCCTCCCAAGGCGTGTGCGAGGTAGTCGGCTAACCCAGGTGAGGGCCTACAGAAGGAAAAACATTCCATACAGGGCAAGCATGGCAAAACCCATGCCATCTGCTAAGCCCTTCACGAGCTGCTATCACAAGGACGGCCGCATGCGGTACGAGGTTAACGACTGACACGACGCACACGACGGGCGGCCGGCCGCGGGTAAACGGTAGGCCAGGCCGGGCCAGGCCAAGGTTGGTGGAAGGAACGGGGGTTACACACAGGCTGGCGGGTGTGTTTCGCCTCACATGCCCGGGCTCCTTGAAGTGTGCCACGATACTACATCCGACCGAACTTTTTTATTTTCATTTTCATTTTCATTTTTTTTTGGGATTTGCTCTAGACTTAGTCAGGGGGGCTCGGTTGGTCCGCGACTAGGTGGACTAAAATACAGGTTGCCTTACTCTGCTCCGTCTCCACGCCCCCTGATCCTGTCGGATGCAGATTATTGAGTCCATTCAGAACCTGTACGTTCGAATCCTCAGCCAACAAAACTGCCTTATGGACGAGAACCTCCTAGCATCTCCCGAAAGTCTCTGATGGGCGGCTCGCGGCGACTCAGAGCTTCAGCTTCGCCCATTGCTCGTGCACCATGGCCTCCAGCCCGCCGCCGTCGTTGGCGTAGTGCGCGAGGTTCATTGCCAGATCAGCCCACTTGGTACACTCATCGTCCTGCCGGACGTTGTACGCGTCCACCGCCTGGTTGAAAGAGACGGTCACGAGCCACTCGAGCTCCTCGGGCGGGAATGGGTGCGGGCCCTGGAGTACGGACACATCATGTCAGGAACCTGATCCTGCAAAAGAACACGCGGCGGTGGGTTTCAGGATCGGTTGAGGAAGGATGAAAAGGGGCAGAGCAGAAGGAGAAAGAGAGGGAATAAAAGGAGAGGATCAGGAGGTACATACACCGCGGGAATCCCTCGCCACGTCAATCGCCTGTCTCATCAGTCTCTGCCCCAGCGCCGCATCGAGCGGTAGCACGGCGTGGAACATGCACCGGATGTACTTTGCCAGCCGGTCGCTCTTCATCTTCTCGAGCTCCCAGATCTCGTTGACGATGACGCCGAGCGTCGAGTAGAGCTCTGCAGTGGTGGGTGCCTGTCAGCCCATGCCCACCATCATACCAGAGACAAAACAAAAAGCCAAATCACCTTGCCCAGGAAGCTTGCCGCGCAACGCAATGTCGCCCATGGCCTTGAGCGCGTTCACTTCCCGGCACGTCTTTGCCGCGCGGACGACGTACCCGAGGGCGTCGTACTGCCTCAGCGCCACCGCCGCCTCGAAGTCGAACACGGTCAGCGTCGCCAGCTTTGCCACGAGGTCGGCCCTGAGCCGCGCGTCCAGCGCATCCACCCGGCCCTCCAGCGCTTCGCTGTAGGCTTTGACGTGCCGCCGCGCTACGAGGTAGTCTTGGAGTCGCCGTTCGGTGCCATCTTCGGCGCGCGCGAGGGAGACGAGCGCCGCTGCAGCGACGAAGTGGCAGAACATGGTCCGGAAGGCCAGGTCGCCGGCCGCCTCGGCGGGGAGGTCGGCAGGGTAGTGCGCTGCGATGGTGAGGCAGCCGTCGTACAAGCGCACAAGATGCTCGAGGCCCCAGCTGTCCACGTGCTTGAGGCCGAGGTTGTATGCGTTCTGGCAGAACCAGTCGAGTTCCTTGATCGTGAAGAGCCGGTTGCCGTCC